AGAAACGTCGTCTTTAAGAGTACACTTTTGGTTATTTTACTTCCGGTAAAGCATGAGTATGAGAAAAAAATTGAACTATTTCTCTATCTTGGTTCTAACGGATCTTGAGAAGGCTCATAGCGGATACTGCACGAAATATTTCCGCACAAATGAGCAAATCCTCCGTAAAATAAGCGACTGGAATAACAGGAAACCGTGTAGCTTTCCAATGAGAGGATCGCGTTGTGTTAGTGAATCATGTTTCTTCGCACCGAACAGTAAGTCTTGACTTGTTTCTGAAAAAAAATGTCCGTGATATACTTTGATTCAAACATTTGGTAGATAGCTGAGCTTCGATCGCATAAAAAATTAGGATATAATTAGGCGCATCTTGTTTGAATCATTGGTTTGGCCAAAGGTCATTTAGGTAATAACGCCTGAATGCAACTGTTCGTGTTCGGGGATGTCCGTGTTGCATATTCAGAAATTGAAGGCGCGCTGGGTTTTCTCTCTGAAATGTCAACAACACGTTAACTTACCCTCTCGTCCCTTGCGCAACCTTCCTGCCTACAGAGTCAAACGACTGCCTATGCAGAGAGTCCATCCTACGTGAAAGAGTGGAAGAGAGGTGTTGTTAACAAGTTACACTTTCCAAGGTCTGCTTCAAGGTTGCGCCTTCAAAGTTCAAATTTTCTACATCACAGCATACAATTCTTATCGTGATGACGACATGAATTCTCGGAATACTACAAAAATTAGACCTTCATTTCCAATTTTGCCACAATGGGTGATATTGAGAGCCCATCTAAAAATCAAAATATTAGGAGCTATTTACTGAATCGCGTTAAGAAAGAAGGGAGAAAGTCACAGCAGCTATTGCCAAATTTTACCGAGCAATTGAATGTGCGATTCATTCCATCTGGTAATTTGCCTCGATAGTGATCTTAGAGGAAATCCCTCAAAATTTTCCTACCTACCGTTCTCTTGTAAAAAAATAAATGAGCCGATGAAACTTGGCCCTATGACCTTAAAAAGTCGGAAAGTTGCTTAAAAACGACGAAACACGCCAGCACATATCTTCCGCCTAGTTTAAAAACCAAGTACATATTTCCGAACCTCGTCTTCGGCGCCTTATTTTTGCAGGCTATGCAACTATTCGTGCGTCTACAGGGATTCTATCGGCACGGAGATGAACTAAACCTCACTCATCGGCTGTTTTACCTTTTAAATTCTTGCTGTTAATTTGTGCAATAATCATGCATGTCAAAGAAAACTATGTTTTTTGTCGTTGATACAGCTCCGACGTTTTTTTTTTAAATTCGAGTAATTGAATTCAGTGATTTTCTTTTCAAATCCATTTGTGAAATTATTATTAATTATTATAAAATATATATATTATAAATTATTATAAATTATTTGTGAAATAATCATGCGGCGAAATCAAAGAAACGTACCTAACTAATATAATAAAAAATGCTGGCTCCGGCTCAAACCGCCAGGGCAAACGAGCATCGAAGATTGCATACGTGCCAAAGTGAAGGCGCATCATACCTTACAGCTCTGAAAAACACGAATACAAAGTGAAGGCACGCCTGACCCCAAATTGGGCATCGTCAGCAGACTGATAAGCGAAAAAAAATCTTATCTCCGATCCGGGTGTCAATCATTAGTCCCAAAATACACGTATCTCCGTAACTCTATACTGTATTTCGCAACTGCTAACATTATTTTGCAAAAAACGTTATGAGACTATAAAAGTATCTTATTCTTGATATTTTCACCAGGTTTTGCGTTTGAGTGGTCAACCGGAAGAAAGCTAGGAAGTTTCTTCATTCTTCTGAAAAATCGGGAGGGGCATTTTTGGTCTGTAACCTGCGATTGGTGGTTACATCACGGTACGCAGCGACAAAGTAACCTGCCGATAGCTTCCCTCAAAACCCACCGCACAGCCACCACAGATACCACCAGGCCACCAGGGCCTTAACCAAACTTAACAGGCAGATCAATGGATGCTAATTTAATTAAAGAGATACATGTGAAGAGTAAGACGTTGACATACCTTCAGAGACACAGATACAGGTCGACCGGTTAATATAAGTATTCAAACGCCAAAATAATTAATGAACCAACATGAGGATGAGAGGTTTTAAACATGTAGTCAGGGTCGGATTCAGGGAGTGCCCACATGGGCCGCGACCCATGGCGGCAAATTTAGGGGGCGGCAAATCTTGCAATTTTTTTAAATGTAGGTAAAAAGAAATCGGATTCAGAAAAAAATTACAAACGAGAAAAGGCGACAAATTTTCTTATTTCCTAAGAGTATACTAATTTCTAATTTTGGCGTCTTTCGGTGATACAAGAGACAGCACCTTTAATTAGTCGAGTTCAGAGAGAATCCAAACACGCAATTTAATTACGCCTGGAGCGACGTGACCCAGAGAGGAACGATGTCGAGGACTTGAGATGAAAAGGAGAAGCACTCGGCACGCGCGGTGGTTGGCATGTAACACATAGCGCCTACAAGACTATATGAATACTTCACGCATTGCGTCAAACACAGTGCGGTCAGCGCGAAACGCATAGCGCCTACAAGACTGCATGAATACTTCACGCATTGCGCCAAACACAGTGAGTTCAGCAGCGGTCGGCGTGTGACGCATAGCGCCTACAAGACTGAAGTGAATACTTCACGCGATCAGCGCGGCGGCGGAAGTTAACCGTCTATGGCATAGTGTCACGAATTCGTAACAACATATTTTCGGGGTTTTTAAAAATTGAATCTTTCCCCTGTGTTATGATTTTAGAATAGAATCTGAAATCTAAAATTAATTCATGCCATAGAGGGTTAAAATTATGACACCGCGTTTATGTTTGTTCTTTCATAATTTTTTTCGTTCATTTCTTATAAATGGAAGGCCTTGTCCACACAAAGATAGGTTTACGGAACTTAACTTTCACGCAAAGTTCCGTGAACTTTTGCTGGGAGTGTTGACAGGGCTTTCGCAAAAAAATATATGTATGTCCAACGCGAGTAAACGCGTCTTATGTACCCCTCCCCCTGCGGCACGTTCACTTGATGGTTTTTATTTTCGAAACGAATGAGCAGGGGGCGGCAAAACACAGGTGGCCCATGGGCGGCAAGTAGGTATATCTGGCCCTGCATGTGGTAACAATCCAGTTCATGAAAATTGATCACACTTCACATGTGACTATAAGAACTTAGTTTGCAAGAGACACGTCTCCACACCAAAAGTGATGTTTATATAGGAGAAAATTACACATTCAAAAGTGAGCTATGAAAGCAATTTCACAAGTTTATAAATCATTTGGGCACATCCCACTCGCACCCAGACACGAAATCACGAATAAATCCTATCCTGGACGATGAGTTTATGTTTCTCACGACGCGCACAGGCAATTATTGCACTTTACCATATTCTGTATGACCATGTAGACCATTTTGTTGGAGCCGAGGCTCCAAAGAAAAAGAAGTGATTTGATGCAGAGAAAATGAGGAAAGATGAAATCGAAAGAAGACACAGAAAATTGCATAATGGAACTCAGTGCTGAGAGACTAGGTGGCAAATTGAGCCTACCTTAAAATGGGGTGCATTGAAAGGGGCGGCAAGCGGGTTGGCGAGGGACGAGCAGATCACAAAGGGCGGAAAGCTGGTCACATGCTGAAAGGCTGGATATTCACCCGAGAATTACGGCGTCTACCACATTGTTAGGATAGTCAGGCCCGTGCCATAAACTATCCTAATACTTACGGCGAGAATAACTTTAAACGATCGAAAGACGGCGGTAAACTGGCGGTAAGACAAAGAACTAGGATAAAAGAAGGAAAGCGCGTACAGTACACTTACTTACTTACTTAAGTACTTTCGGCAAAGGCACGGGGACACTACCCAAAAGCGCAAATGGCCAAAAGCGCAAACCCGAAAAGGGCAAATGTGTAGTCCAAAAGCGCAAATAGGAAGCGCCGAGACTCACCCCAAAAGCGCAATTACCTGTATTGAGCATAAGGTGAACAAAATTTCAGGATAAAAAATGTGGCAACGTGTTACCTGTACATTCAAGTGGAGACAGCTAAGAACTTGCAACCCGCTTTTTTTAAATATGTCTTCATCATTTCTGTAGTAATAAACCCTTTGAGTTCATGCTCTGATTGAATTTAGTTCTTCGGAAAATATATATGAATATTCGGATGAGCACTCGAAACAATTTTTCTGAAATTGCCATTGAACCACTCGGCTCCATTTGTCGTCTTTGGATCCATTGATGTAGACGCCGCAGCCCACATTTCGGGGGGAAAGGAGCATAGTAAAATGTAGTTGTCCAAAATGTACTTACTAAAAGCTAGTGCTCGAGGATCACTTGGACAACAGCTATTTAGTATCACGTATCCATCAAGAACCCATTCGGGTGGTAAAAAAGGCAATTCATAAAACATCTTGGAAACACGCTCTTAAAAGCTATGTGCGCGCTAGATTCAAAGTCCAATAAAATTTTTCGGAGATTGAATTTTCCCTCCGTCAAAGTTTATATAAAGTTTTGATTTTGGGTATGAGGAACACTGACGCTCCACGCCATGTTGCCATACTGCAATCACATTTCTAAACTTAAAGTATTCGCCTTTTTTCATAATTTAGCGTACCCATTTGCGCAAAGGAGTCCCTTCTTCCACCGCCCCAAAGGCGCAAAATGCAGATTTGCGCTTTTGGGGTTTGCGCTTTTGGACGTTTGCGCTTTTGGAAACTTACCAGGCACGGCACCGGCAAGGCACGAGAGACGCGAAGGACGCACACGACTCGCGGTTACACAATCAGTCAATAACAAAGTCCGTAACAATTTGCATTATCCTGCAAATCCGTAGAGCCGGCCGTTACGTCGCAAAACTTTAGTAACATAAGAAACTTAGTGCTGCTGATACCGTTGCCTACGACGCTGATACTTCTGGCGAGCGCGAACATCAGCCTTCTACAGTGTTGCCGATAATTAATTAGTAAGTCTTGTTGTGTAAACATAAACATAACCTCAATCTTTGCGATGCCGTCTCCTTACCCCTTACCGGAACAGAATCCAGTGAATTAGAAAAGAAATTATCGTTTTAGAACACAAAATTCAGTCTATTATCAACCATCATGTCGTTATGTATGAACATTTTGATCCATTAATATCCTCCTACCGTATTCATTAAGCATGACTTATCCCTGTGATTGTAATTCAGTGTTGAGGGTGTGAGGGAAACGAAGAAGCCTCCTAAAAGAGACATTTAGAATCAAAAACCAGGTCAGAAACTCGTTATTTTCTACCCTTTTTAATTGAACTGTGTCACTTGAAATATATTGATAGTCTTTTACTGCCAGGTCAAGCCATTATTGCTGGTAGCAGATCTTAAGTCCTCTGCAACCGCTCAACGAGTGGTGTAAGTATGTGCCTCCCATAGTTTAACACCGATTTTACTACCTGTCTCCCTCCGTCTTCTATTCTCAAAATCTGCATTATTTTCACAATAGTCCATGTGAGGTCATACAGGCTCATCCCTGCTTTTTTTATAAACTCTTAGCTATCGAAGTCGATGTGAAAAACTCACCCTGACAATGAGCGCTTCTCTTATCAGTTAATTTACTTGGAAGGATTGTGTTTAAATTTTGAGCAAAGTTGAATTTAAGTTTTGTAAAATTCATCATGAACAACTCATCACATTTCAAAATGAAATCATTAATTTATGTTTTGTTAGAAATTCATCCTTCTCTTTATCAATTTATTACAAATAATGAGTAATTGTTTAACAGTCAAAACAAAGCTGATTGATCAGATGATTAAGTAACGCCCTAACCATTTAGGTATGACGAATTTGATTTTGAACTATAAACTGTTGGAACTACAATTTTTTGCTAATGTCTCTATGAAGTTTCTGATTTCTTTTCGGCCACGTTTTTGCAAAACTTCATCTTTTTTTCTTTCAGACATTTTACAATGGGTCTTTTAACTGATCCAACAACTGGCCAAGGTAAAATTATTCAAATACTCTTGAATCATCATGGAAAAATCTGTGTACTCCTTTTCCTGTCATCCCTTGTTTGGTTTGTTTTACTGGCGCATAATCAATTCAACGCAGGTAAGAAGCTTTTGTTGTAATTTTTATGTTTCGTTAGGGGATAGTAATCACTCATTAATTGTTCAATGAAAATATCAACATAAATTCAGAACATAACTCGAAGGCTCGGCACCTGTGTTTTGGCTTTTAGTACATTAACGAGTTCCTCCTGCAAGAGAAAAAGAAATTATGTACCTCTAAAAAATCTGGAAAAAGCTGCAGAGTTATGTATCAATTCTGAAGCAGCCTCCTCTAGATAAAAGCTGAGTCCACTTACAGGTCAATCTGTCATTTTCAGCAGTGGCAACTTAATGTTTCTTTATCCTCTCATATCTAAAGTTCACATAATTTCAAGCAAACTTCAGAGGAAGGAGCTCTCGTATAGCTGCCTTGCTAGGTTTATCTGGACTGAAAAATGCAATCCTGTATGTTTATATCTTGTTGATAACATTTGAGCTTTTACATTTTCTGAGCTTTAAAGTAGCAGTCATTGATATATTTGATCTGTTCAAAAAAGGAAATTTAACCGATAGAATAGCTGCACTACTTCCCTCTGTAGTTTTGCCTTCATTCTCAGGTGTTTAACTTCACAGTCATCTTAGAAACAAAAATATATTTTCTGTTAATTCGATTTTCAGGAAATGGCATGGAAATTACCTGAATAAAGCTTGTGTATTAAGTCACTTATTGAAAAAAAGGAGATACATAGAATAAAAATGCCTGAATTTACCCTTTTAAAATCGCTGGGGAAAGGGAAAAAAAAAAACAAATGGCACCATTCAACATATATTTAGCGGTAAACAATGTCCAACTAATGATTGACGCATACAAGTTGATATGACATTTGTCTCTTTTTTTCTTTCCCCAGCTCGAAATCCCTAGTCATTGCTTTAATATTTCATGCACCATGTATTGTTGCACATGTAGTTCACACAGGATTGTTTCATGAGTAAAAGAAAAAGAAAAATATAAATGATAATTAGGTTGATCATATTGGAGAAGTGTTCATGATTCTCTCTCATTAGTTTTCCTCTCAAGTAGTAAGTAGCTTTTCCTCTTTTTTTTTTGCAGCAACATATTTCTCTGAGAATGCACTGCTACCAGGATTAGTGAAAGGAGATTACAGCGATGATGGTGTGGCAAAGAGGGTCATGGAGGAATTGGAAGTTGAAGCTGATGCCCACCAGAATTCTATTCCTCAATCATGGATAGTTGCGAAGTTTAGACAGTTCGGACTTGATACTTACCTTCACAATTTCACATTGAACTATCCATTAGGCAAAAGACAGGTAATAACGAAAGTCTGAGCTCAAATCGTAAAATGGTGGTTAAAATACCTGTCTCTGAAAGTAATTGACTGTTGTGGTGAGGTTTTTAAAAAATAATACCTTTTCAAAGTACAAATATTTACTTAAAGCACTCACTCCTTCAAAAAATTTAATTCTAAATAATAGCAAATTTTATGAAAATATCCTCTTCAGGCACCTGCTGAGGAACAGGTGAGGTTTTCTCAAAATGAAATCACGGGTTTTATTAAAAAAAAAAAAAAAAAAAAATCGACTGTCCTGTATCTATAGACTCATGAAGTTTTCTTTACTTTAACAAACCAACCTTAGGTACAAAGATGATTCAACTGTCTGAAGATTGTTGTAAAAACAAATATATCGATACTCATGAACATGAATAGAAAGAAGACTAAATCAAAAGTACCCAACCAAAATATCATGACGGCAGTAAAAGTCAGAACTACACTTACACATGAATGCCTGTCCACAAAACACGGCCTTTTCTCCATGAGACGTTTCCCTGCAATTTCGCAATTTGTTGCAGCGAAATGTTGCACCTATGAAGATGGCCAAAAATATTGACTATCAATAACTGAACTATAATGATAGTTTTGCTCTGTTGCAAGAATGTATTAGCCCCATCCTGAGGAGAAGGAAACAACAGAAAATCTCGGAAGTTTCTTTTTTTGCGATTCAACACTGCCATATATTTCTTGAAAACTGCCCGTGGAGACAAAGCCTACTGCGGAGTATGAATATTAATTCTGAGGGTCCCTTCTGAAGTACTGACTTGTCAAAATTTGCTCTATCATCTAAAGAAGTGGGCTTGTACAAGAAAGAAAAAACAAAGTGTTCATTAATATTTCTACCGAGGAAGAGGCTCGATTTTTACCTTGTTGATATTTTCTGTCACAGCAACTGTTCAAGCATCTGAGCCAAAATTTTGGTAAATTTGCTTCGCTTATTTTGTCTGTCTCTCAACAAACAACAAAGCCCCATGACTAGCTTTTTGGTCATCTCTTTGATCTAGTTTTTTGTTCACCGTATGACTCCTGAAGGTCTAATTCGTGTTACAGAAATACACTGGAACCAATATTTATGGAATACTAAGAGCAGCACGAGGAGCGAGCACAGAAGCTGTTGTGTTATCTCTACCGTATAGGTTAGTTTCTCATTTGTACTAAGGAAATCTCTAACATGTTAAATTATTTGTCTATTATGATTTTATATTTTAGAGTGAAAGTTGTTTACTGAAGCTTGTTGGGAATAGTATTTCCATGCTACTTTTTTTGTTTTGTTTCTTTTTTAATTCTGCAAGTCCACAATTTTGCTCATTTTAGAGTTGATGTTTTGCTGGGATCCTATAAAACTCAATTTCAGTCAGTTATTTAGTTTAAGATTTTGGTCAAAGCAAAAATACTTCGCAAATCTTAAGTTTATTTTGGAGACTCTAATGTTGATTTTAATTGAAATGGAGTCAGTACACTTAATTTTGACATTAATGTAAAAATATAGTTATGTATGAAGTTTTGGGAAATATGCTTCTATAGTTGATATGTTGAGCAGATTCGCTTATAAATGAAATCTTGTTACTCTTTATATATTTGAGTCAGGATTAATGATTGACTTACGAGATATCACTTAAAACTTGGTGGAAATGTTTAGAGCCTCGATAGTTGTACTATGAAAACCCAAATCTCCAAATATTATCACTACCTACCTAGTGTATTTTTTATTTTATTTTTTAAAGTCTCCTCTGTCCGTATCTCTTTTTCTGCGTCTGTTTTTCACTATGTCTTTTATTCTGAGTGTTATTTTTGTTTTATTCTTTTTCAGGCCTCCTAGTAGCACAAATCCAACAACTTTGCCAGGACTTGCTCTCATGCTAGGACTAATTAATTTTTTTGGCAGTAAGTGAGGCAGTTAATTGTTTTTTCAATCAAGATTTCTTTTAGGACAATAAGTATTTCTCATATTTTACTTTATGTATTATTCTTTTCTGCTAGGCTGCAAACATGGTGTGCACAAAATTTTGGATTTTTTTTTTTTTTTCAAATCAGATGTCATTGCCCAAGTATGAGCATATATAGCAACAAAGATGCACTTTGCAGAAACTAAAGAGGCATAATTTCCTGAATGAGATTTTCTGAAAACGAGCAAGAATATGGAAAAACATATAACAAGCTTATCAGACTTGAATTTAAGAAAAAAAATTGACCTCTCAGCCAGACATCAGGAACTCCAATCTACAATTTCCAACCAGGAAAAAAAATTGATGACATTTGAATTGAAGTATGCAAGAACGTGCGATGTCCAAGATGATGTTTCAGATTTTGAGTGGACAATTTTGTTGTAACTTAACAACACAAGATGGTTTAAGACGCTAGGAATAAAGAACAGTTTTATAAATAATCCCCTAAGTGTAATTAAACGTTTACAAAAGAGTTCCATCCTATTCATCAATATTGTGGGACAAAAGAAACCCACCGCAATTATGAAACTCTGTATTGGACAACGGACGTTTTCGCATACGTCGATTCATTTATATTTAAAGTGATTCAGGAGTTTTTTTATTTTTTTTTTGCCTTAGGTATAAATTGTTTTTTCCTGAATTTAAAGGTAAAATGTATTGAGATACGACTTGGTCTGTGAATGTAGGGAAGAGTCAGACTCGAAATCCTGCATTTAAAACAAATTATAACCAGATTTTTCTTTTGAATCTGTTAAATGCCTTGTTGTTTCAATTTCATCTTTTTTCTTTTACAGAGCAAAAATACTGGGCTAAGGATATAATATTTCTGGTAACAGAGCATGAGCAGCTGGGTGTGCAAGCTTGGTTAGAAGCCTACCATGGTATTTCATGTGGTTTGGGAGGAGCTGTGGATTATGGTGACATTGATGGCAGAGGCGGACCGATTCAAGCTGCTATAAACCTTGAAATTCATGGTCGTAGACTTTCTCGCATTGATGTGAAAATATCAGGATTGAATGGACAACTTCCAAATCTAGATCTATTTAATCTTGTGCATCGAATGTGTGCCAAAGAAGGAATCAAACACACTTTCTACAACAAGGATTCAAGTGTTAGTAGCGCTGTTTCTCTTTTTAACAAATACCATTTGTTTTTGAAAGATTTCAACTTTTTTTACCTCACCTGCAATCAGAAACATGATGTCATAAAAAAGAAAATCAGTGCAGGTATCAAGTGCTTTGAAGAAGAAAACCCATTGTATTATTGTAAAGAGCATAATTTAAGATTGCATGCTGACCTAGTGGTTCAACCATAGACTATTCAACAAATAATTTTTCTCCACAACCTTCCCTAGATTGTTCGTTGGAAAGACATTTACATCCCATTTTAAGATCTCATTGTACGGAATTTACTTGCTTAACAGCATTTGATTTACTTCATTTGCTGGCAAGTGAACAATCTGAATAGTTGTTCTACATGTCTTCGGTAGAAGAGGTATGTGCATTGTATCGCACAATTCAACAGTGTAACTCGGTTTGAGGCGTCGCAAACTTCCTGTCATACTTTATTTTTTAAACAGAAAACTACTCAATGGCAATTCTTTAAAACTGCCTTGATTTTTTTTCTCTGTGGGAAGAAAATTCTGCTAAAACTTCAAGGAATGATGTTAATTTGTTCTCCTATAAAAAAATAACATAGAGGCGGAGATTTTCAGACACAGCAAATGAGTTATGTGATTGCGGATTTACGCCGTCGATATCTTTGGTAGAATAGGTATGTACATTATATTGCACAATTGTTTTCCACAGCAGATAAATTCAACTGTAACAAAATCATACATTTGATAACTATTAAAAAATGTATTGGTCTTTTATTTTTCCTCTGTTACAGTCTCATCCTAATGATTTTGTGGGAGAATGGCGCTCAAAGTTGAATACTTTGGTATCAATGGTGGCAACTCAAGCATCTGGAGTACCCAATGGCAATCATGGATTGTTCCATAGGTAATTTGCACCTATTTCTTAAATTTATTTTATGAAATTAGGGGACGAATTTCCTTCCAGGAATTTTTATCCATTTTTTTGAGAATGGGAACATTTTGATGAATGAACATGAAGTTTCCTATAAAAAAACTGTTACAATTAATCTACATGTTGTTTAAAAAAAAAAACAAGCAGTGAACTCCAACACAATGTGTTGATAAGGCGCGTCATTAACTCGCACATATCAACCCCTTTAGTTTTCATTTACAGAGATTTCAAAATAGGCAAACAGCATAAAAAGAGAATTCACGATCCAACACTGCGAGGTCAAAGACGCACCTTGACGAGACCGTGTATTGTGAAAGTAGAAAGCTATTCGATCGAATTTAAGTTTTTTGATCTGCCTCAAGCAAAATCTTATCAGATTCTTGAAGAAAAGTGCTACGGAATAATTTAAGCGAAGAAAGGAAAAATTCTGTCGAACTCCTAGAAGATAAAGTCGATTTAAAGGTATTTTGGGGCTAAAATACCCAAATCACCGGTAGTAAAAATCCCGTTATATTATTGAAAAGAAATTGACTCGATATAAATGCAATTGCATTAAATACGTCTTGATTTTGTTATTTTAAACGTCTTTCCATGCAAAGAAGTTCAACCATGTCGTTGCTTTATTCATTCATGAATTGAAAGTAAGCAATCTACATCCCGAAAATCTACTGATTTGCCGTAAAAAATTGCAGAAACTTGATATACCAGGTCGATGCACCCACTCGTTGAATTTACCAACCAATTTTGTGAGTGCAAATGTGTAAGAATCAATATGCTATAGTCATTTTGGGTGCATTTATTTTTCATGAAACAATAATAATTTCAATCCCGAAAAACCATCAATTTTCCGTATAAAATCGAAAAAATCAAAATATGTCAACTCCCCGACGTGAAAATTAGATTCTACGTATGTAAAATGTAAATACTTATGTATCGATATGCTGAACAGAACTATGTGTGGACAGTCAGAAGCCCGCGGCAACATTAATTCAACAGAAAAACTGTAAAAATTAGATAGGATTTTAGCCGCTTTGCCCGCCTCTCCTCGCTACTTACAACAAACCGTTCTTATACTCATCTCAAAATTTTTCTCAGAGCTTTGGGTTATTATCAGCTTCCATTTAAACTCCGGTTCGATGGCCGAATCGGCTGCCAAAAAAGCAAGCCACTGTTGAGGGGTTCTATGAGAAATTCGTGATATTATCGGCTCTCAGGAAATCACCCCATGGCTAAAATTGGTGGTATAAATGTTTAAGTGCTTAAAATAATCGTATTCAAGAAACTAAGGAATTAAACTATGGAGTCAATTTCTTTTTAATAATATAACGAATTTACTACCGGTGATTTAGCTATTATAGCCCCAGAATACTTTTAAAGCGCCTTTGCGTTCCAGAATCTCGACGGAATTTTTTTTTTTTTTTTTTTTGCTTAAACGATTCAAGAAACATTGTAGTTAAAAATATAAAGATTTTTCGATTTGGACGTATGAAAAATGTTTAACTCGTTCAGGCACACCGTGTATTGTATGGAGTACTGCTGTTATTCGACCGTTGTCTTCAGGTCAAAATTCTTACAAAGAAGCCCCTTGCAAGAGGCAAATTTTTTGTAATTTCTCCCAGTTTTTTCAGCGTTAGGTATATAAATGAATTGTTTGTCAAATTTTGAGGTCAATTATATTTAATTGTAATTTATACTTTCTTTTTTTCCCCTTCATTTTATTTTTCGTATCGAGGAGTCGAGGTTTTGTTGATTTCTTCGGATTTCGATTACTGTAACTTCTCTTCTATTCGGCCGATTTTTATGAATGAGGTCTCTTTTTATTTGTGTTTTAACGGAGAGTAAGGAAAAAATTGCTAAATACATGCGAAACAATTTTTTTTGAAAATTGGATGAATCCTAGCGTGACGGTGAAATGGTTAATGAAGCGTGAGTAATTGGGGTACGGGTATCGGCCGCGTTGGGACCCAAGGCCCATTGTTCTTCGTGACGCCGACGCAGTGATCAGGAGCGTGGGGACGAGAGGGCTTAGTGGACTCCTGTATGAGCCACGTTTAGCAAATGGTCTAATGAGTCTCGAGGCTCATCACAGATTGCACTTACCACTATCCTGGTGGCCCCGGCTATCAGAGCAAGGAGTACCAACTTTTGAAAAGGATAACAGTGTTGTGGAGATATGTCAAAGCAACGTTGTGAACAAAACGGAGTGAGTGAAATTCTCATTCAAGGAGTGCCGAACTGGTCAGCCATCCTCGAATCAGTTCGCTTGCTTCCGCTTATATATGCATATTTTAAATCAGCGCGCCCCATTCTAAGGTTTTTTTAAAAAAAACCAAGAAACGTAGACTCTTGGTATTCATTACACATAAACTAGCGAGCCCCAGAATGAGAAACAAATTTTAATCATTATTATTGACGGATTAGTAAACTTTTTACGCGCTTTGGAAAATCTCAGAAGTTCGCGGTAGTCACTTTTCGGTAAGGAACTAGGGGACTCGGTTATTGTATCGAGGGGGGGGTCGAAACGATCGCAAAGGCGGTATACTACGTATACGCGCCAAAAAACTGTCGAAACTTACCAAATGGAGCTGAAAAATCAAATTACAAGTTTAGAAAAATTCATCATCAATGAAGGTCGATTTTTGATTTCATCTAATGTCGATAATTGAACTTTCAGGTTTGGAATTGAAGCTTTAACATTAGAAGGCTATGAACATGGTAACCGCGTCAAATACATAACGTTTCATCAGCTGGGACGGTAAGTTATAAAGTTTCTTTAGATTTCCTTCTTTTAGTTCAAAATCTTCTAATTTTGAAAAAATACAGACCTCCTCTAAGAGTGGTCGCAATTGAAGCACCCATTTAGGGCTTTTCGGCTTTAAGCAGAAAAGGAAAACCAACTAAAATAGGTGGAAAACTCCTTGGCAGTGCTTTTGTTCTCCATATATATTAAAGAATGCGCATTTTTACTCAAACATTACAGTTTTTGGTTTTTTCTCATGCTTCCTGAAAAAATTCGTCTTGGAAAGTGCACCTGCCCCGAATTTTTTTTTATTTTTTAAATTAAGTTCCATGTTTTTAAAATGGCAGTTCTCTTTGAAGACTGGACAAAGAAATTAGACATTGGGGAGTTTTTGCTAATTTTACAGATTCGATATTTAATACACCAATTCTATGACTAGGCAGTGTAACTGACCCATTTAAATATCATTAAAAGTAAATGTGAGTTTGTGACTTGAACAGCTATTACTAGTAATGGCACCACAGCACAGCCCGGGGTGGGCTTTGGCCCTCAAGTTGTGACATGCGCGCATATTATTTTTTGACTTGCAATGATACTAATTGATGATTTTTTGTCCGCAGTGTTGTGGAGGGTATTTTTAGAAGTCTGAACAATCTTCTGGAAAGGTTTCATCAATCATACTTTTTCTATCTTCTTCCTGCTAGCGACAGATATGTCTCAATTGGTAAATATTTTTATTTAATTGTCTCCTCTCTTCTATCTGCAGAAACAGATTCTGTTTTAAGTTACATCTCATTCTTGTACACCAACACAGATCTCCCTCTTGCCATAGTCGAAACACTAACATGCATTCTAACTAAATTACAGTATGCTAATGATAGTAATCAAGGAGCTGAGGTTCAGCTTAATCCATTCCTGTAGCCGCCTCAATTCTGCGTATTTTTATAAGCATTTTTCTCTGAGATGCCGGTAAAAAATCACAAAATTATTGCAGCGTTCGTTCCTTTGGTGCTCATAAATTTGCCACCGTTTTTCACCCCAAAAAATGGAGACTAAATAAATGTCTAATCTATTTTTATAAATGTAGATTTCATGTCCCAGCATGTCGTGTAGTATGGACATGCTCGAAGAATGTCGCAGTAGAGATTGCCCAAACTAGTTTTGGATTGAGTACCCTCCGGAAAAAGGAGACGGGGAAATCCCTTGAAGGAATGTTGGCAAGGCGTCAACAAACAGATATGTCAGTCGCTTGATGACTTTTGGGGAGACAGTGGCGTGTGACGTTTGGGTGTTGTGCAAAGTGTCAGAGTGCATGGTAAGAATGACGAACGAGAATATTTATGTATGCATTTTTTTAATACCCCACTTACTTTACCTTCTCAGGAAATTACATGATATCTCTCGGGGTATCAGTTGCTGCTTTGTTCGCAAAATCTTATGTGACCTGGCTGCAGATTCAAATAAATGGGAAACGTGACACCTCTAAACCAAAAGACGAGGCTTCTATCAAGACTGTAAAAATGGTATTTTGTATTTAATTATATTTCTAGTGATTTATGTTGCTCTGTTTGTTAGAGAACCACCCAAAGTTGGCAGTACTTATTGATCCATAGTATCACTTTTAGCCAAAATTTCATTGCAAAAGCCTGCCATATTAATTTGAAAATTCAGTTTCCAGCATCACCCGATGCATAATACATTAGGGATGTATAGAAAACAAACTCTCTAGATATTTTAAATTCTAATGTTTATTGCATATGTATTTATATGCAGTTGAGGTTTAACTAACTGTAAATTCAAAGATCGAAACAAGACAACAGTGGTTTTCATACTTGATAATCCTTCCTGGATAAATTACAACTCACATTGTACAGTGAAGGGAATACTTTTTAAGGGGCCCCCTATGTTCTTCAACTTTAAAGAATTTTATAACCTACAATGTTCTTCTAATATCTATCCCTAAAATAGCCACTTGTAGACAATCAAGCCCATAAAACTTTAAAATAAAATCTATTCCGATTTTTCTTCGGTCTTAAATGAAAGTATTTAGGTTCTTTGTGCCTCCAGAATTTGAAGCAAAATCAAGAGTGCAATGGCATTTAAGTGCAAAAAATTAGAACATTTTTATTTATTTATTACGATGAAAGACAATTTTCAAAAGCGTGTCTGCTCTTTGATGAAACATAAGGCTCTTAGCAGTGTTTGCTTAAAAAATAAACGGAGCTACTTTTCAAATGGAGTAATGATGTACCACTAGAAAAAGTTATCATTTTAAGGAATCACTAAGACTTCTTCTGTAAGTGTACTCATGTAGAAAATTGCACTATGCATCTAGTGTTCTGGATTTTAAAACTTGTTATGTTTGTCAAGTCTGCTCTGTCTGCTCTGTCCTAACAACTGTATTTCTTTTCTTTAGGTTTCTGCAGACGATCCAAAGACTCTCAATTTAGTCGGAGTTGGTAGTGTGATACTAATGACACACTTCCTTGGGATGAACTTACTCTATATATGTCAAAAATTTACTTCGTTGGGCTATTTGTCAACTGAAGACTCTCTGTTGGTCGTCTTAGCTTGTTTCTCGATTATTAGTCTGGTGTTTCCTTTAGTAATTAAAAGATGGTGAGTCATTGCTCAATGAAAATTTTAAATATTTTTAATGAACAAATTGTTCATTGGTTGGCTCCTTTAAAAATACAAATAATATCACGGATGATGTTGTCAATCTCAGATCAACTATTAGATCTTGACTCTTATCATAAGCAGTAGAAACTTTTGATTATTTGAAGTGTAAATATTTCCCTGACTTTTCCTGAACACTTTAATAATCGATTATTTACCAAAGTTTCAAATGGGGAAATATCGATAGATCGCAAAGCACGCCACGCCACTGTCTCTTGTACATGGAACTTGCAAGCTTTTTAAGAGAAATCTAGCATTTTCAAAAAATAATTGTGCAGCACCAGAAAATATTTTCCTCAGTAGACTTGGGTATTTTTAGGAGTGCGAAATTCAAACCAACCAACATGGAAAGCGCTAATTGCTTATTTTTTAATTTAAAAAAATGTCAGCATCCTCATTGTATTCAGCTTGCTGTTAAGTGACCTACTCGCTTCTCAGGTAACCAAATTCTACCTCTTGAGTTCCAGGCAGGAGCTTTGATCTTTTGATCTCTTCCATTTTATACCTGTGAGGAAAAAAAAAATTAAATTGACACTATTTTTTTGTATGCAATGAATAATAGAATTATTGACTTATCCAGTCTCATGCTATTTGATTTCAGCTTCCGTATCAGCAACAATTGGATATTGTTAAATATTCTGGCTCTTAATGAATTGGCAACCTTGTTACTTTGTGTAGCAATGCATAACTTTTCATTAGCATTTATAGCTTCAACAATTTATGTTTTACCAGCAATCCTGATCGACTCGAAGAAGAATAGGTAAGAATAATTTCTGTTTCACTCAATTTAGGAGTAATATCTTAAAAGAACACCTATTATTGGCATCGCAACGACCCCCTGGCATGAGGAATGTTCAATCCAATTATAGGAGGCTAAAGTATTTCCAGGCGTCTGGTGTGTAATCTAATCAAATGATTGAAAATTTTGCCTTCCTTTATTATTCTTCAAAGTTTATGAGTCAAGTTAGTGTTTTATTTACATTTAGCCGTTTTCAAACAAACAGCAGCTTCTGACATCCGCCATTTTTACAGATAACGCATTTTTATAATCTTTAAAAGTGGTGATGCCAAGTTTCAGACTTCAGTCTTTGACTCCATGCGGTTTAAAGTAACAGAGAAAAAAACCTGGTGCTGTCTGGCTCACCCTCGCTCTTTGTGCATTTTACTGATATAATTTTTCTTTTGGTCTGTGATCGTTCCTAAGGAGAAAAAAATACTTGTAGTAATGAAAGAGCAAACTGCTAGTTGTTAGATGAATGGAATAAGTTGTTCATCACATTAGCATTAAGAGGATGAATATAGATGGCCAGAGCGAGGAACTCTGTAGCTCATTTTGCGACATTGCAGACTTCCTGTAAAACCAATCAACGTATTTTCTTGAAAACTTCTTTGATTTTTCTTCTCCATTAGTAGCACTTCAAGCTTTAAAGTTGCCTTGTTTTTCCTGGAAATTTCTAAACATCGCATTGGAGACGTATTGTTCCCACTTTGGCCATCGATTTTCTTTTGGAAACTTCAACACAAAATATACTACCTCGTAGTATATTGATAATTTTTATTGATCGTTATCGTTGTTTTGTTGTTTTGTTTTAGCTTTTATAAAAAGACGCTGTGGCTTCTCCTGCATCCTCTGCTTCTCCTTTTTTGGGCCGTTTTATTTTATACTGGCTTTACTTTCATGGATTTGAGCTACCTGACAATTTTGAAGAGAGCAGTGAGTGCTACCAAAACAACATTAGTTTTAAGCGTAGTAGACACCTTTGTTTACGGTAGTTGGCCTTTTACAGTGGCGACAAGCACTCTCCTACCCAATTGGTTGATGTTTTGGTGGGTGCTTATTTTCTCAGAATCTAGAGACTGTATAGATCAAGCATCAAAAGTAACCAAAGAGAAGAGTAAAAATAAAGCCAGGACGAGTGATTCGAAGAAAGATCAGTGAGAGATTTTTTCATTAATTTTCTAGTCGCAGAAATAAAGCAAAGAACATGTTAAAAAATCATCCGTCCGCTGAATCAACTGCACTTTAATGGCAAAACTCTAAAACTATGTAGTTTGTATCATGAAGCTGCAGATTTCCTCTCACATTCTGAACTTTTGAAGGATGACTGGTTTTCACCGTAAAATCTTTGTATGATAAACTTAGAAAAACTTTGTTCTATCAAGAATATTCTCCAAAAGTTTGCTAAAAAAAAGCCCAGTCAGTAAGAAATACTCTCTTTCCCGTAGGAAAATCCAGTAGAAGTACAAATTTTGTAACATCCCAATAGAGATGTTTGTTTTTGTACTCATACTATCGATATATTTTTTACTACTTTACTCCCAGTTAGTAAGGCAAGTATTCTTAAAATTTTGAATTTTAAAAAAAAAATCTGAAAACTTAGAAACGTTCCTTTAGTCTACTGCATAGGAGACTATGTTTTTTAGGTTTTTTATCAAGTAATATGTTTTAGTACCTTTTTAAGTTTTAGGTAAGAATATCATTCATGTTTTTAGAAATGTATTTCTACTTTTCACGCTCACATCAGAAATTGATGGAAACAAAAATATTTAGACATTAACTTTTTATATTAACTGGGTAGTCCATGTAAATTATAATAAATTTTCAGGTAAAAATTTTTCTAAAGAATTGCTTTTTTTAGCAGTTTCTTTATTATGAGAGATATCATTCCAACAGAAGTTGAAATGCAATATTTTCAGGAAGTAAAAGTATTTACTTTATTGATCTCAATAAAAACTCAATTCAGTTTCACTAATTCGGACTATTTTTTTCCTGAATGAAACTTAAGATTAAATGCGAGTTTTTAAATTATGCAGAGTAAAGGAGTATTACTCAATCACCCGGAAAATGTACCATGTACAGAGATAAACCAAAGTTAGACTCTCAGTCTCGGAGGACAACATGAGGAGGGTGTAGCGATTGACTGGTCCAGACGGCTGGGGGCAATCGCCTCCTAATCTTTGACTGTTAAGGAGCATCGCAGGGACTCCTCCCTGCAGATTCATGGGGTCTCACTCAGCACTTTATTAGAAACCTGGTAGCCTCTTATGAACCTTTCCCTCCTTAACTCGAGGAGCTTGGAGGATAAGGCGCACAAATGCAGTTTTCGCTATTGCGAGAATCACCTATTCGAAGTTTCAAAATTACATGGATCCTTATGGAAGAAAAAAATTTCGATCTCACTTTTTGATGTCTAAAAATTGGAGTGCAGGAGTGAATTTTTCTTAGATTATATTTCAAGACTAGTTTTAGTTGAAATTTTTATTGCCTCAATTTCTTAAAAACTGCACGTATTCTCTTAGCCCTCCAAGCTCCTCATTTTAGAAGGGGCCCTTAATCTTCTTTTTAGAGGGGTCTGCTCTCCAGAAAATTCCGAGACAATTTCCAAACGGGGAGGAGGGCTCTGTAAGATTTGTTAAATTTGAGGAACTTGCCCTTTGCCATTCATAACATGACATCTATTTTGTGTGCTACAAGTCATGAAATAATATGTCGTCAAAAAAGTTAGAAATAGAGCATAATGTACAATAATTTACATAATTACAAAAGGAAATGTATGTTACCTGATTTTTAGTTCAATTTCTTAATGTGAGAATGGAGTACATTCTTTTAATTTTCCAAGAAAGGAAGTCAGTTTAAAAAAAATATTTACGGAAATAACATTGATCAAACCATAAAATAGTAACTAATGACGATTTAAGTCCCAATGCTGAAAAGCATGAGCATGTCCTTTGACCTCAGCCACTGACAGATTTGCATTTGAAAGTGAAATCCATGGTATTGAGTAAGCTTATTACAAGCAGATGGACATGATTCTTCGTATCCATTTAGAAAGTTAAGGGAGGGAAGGAAAATGACCAAAAAGTTGATGTAAATTAACAGTATAATAATAAAATATATGACAAATACAAATATGATTGAAGTGGAAACAAGTTACTGAAGAGAGGGGGAAAATATACAATTTGTAACTTGCTACAAACACTTCAGATAAGAAGAACAATTGATATGCACAAGTAATAACAAATGTAACAAAGTGGACCTGTGAGCATGTTGGAATTACTTTATTAAAATTAAAGGACTGGCACAAAAATCTAAAAGCTATGAACAGTCTCAACAAAAATACGAACACTTTCAGGGTCCATATCTGGATAAATACCATGACCTAAATTTGCAATATACCTACTTTTGCCAAACTTACTAACCATTTCCTTCACAAGGTTTGGCAAATTTTCTTTGCTACTGTACAGAGCACAAGGATCTAAGTTTCCTTGCAAAGTGACTTTATTCCCAGCTGCTTGTCTAGCAACAGAGGGATCTATTGTCCAGTCAATACCAACAATATCGTAACCACTATTTGAAAGGTCTTGAATACAATAATGTGCACCCTTTGCAAATATTGTCATTGGTACATCAATGTTAAGAGCCTTTAGCTTGGATTTTACAGTTTTCGCTATGGAACTGATGTAAGGGAGGGCAAATTTTTTAAACATGTCTGGGCCCAAATATTCTGCATTTGACTCAAACACTTGAAGCAATTGGGCGCCTGCAGAAGCTTGTCCTACTAGGTAATCAATGACAACTACACTTAAAATGTTGAGAAGGGTATGGCTCTCAGCTGGATATTTGTAAAGCCAGTGTTTGGCTTTTGACATAGTTTTTGAACCACCTCCTTCAATCATGTAGCACATTAAAGTCCATGGTGCCCCTGAAAATCCTATGAGGGGTACTTTGCCATTCAGTCGGTGCCTTGTAAGGGTGATGGCTTCAAAGACATAGTTCAGAGTTGAATGCACATCTACTGGAGTTTTTAAGGTTGAAATATCGTCTGGCTTGATTAAGGGCTCGGGTAAAACAGGGCCAACTCCTGGTTTCATTTCAACAGTCATTCCTAAGGCTTGCGGTATCACAAGAATATCGGAGAATATGATGGCAGCATCTAAGTCAAATCTATCGATTGGCTGAAGAGTGATTTCAGCTGCAAGGGTTGGTGTTTGACATATTGTAAAAAAATCATGTTTGGACCTAAGCTCACGAAATTCAGGTAAATATCTTCCAGCTTGGCGCATGACCCACACAGGAATTCTATCCACTTCCTCACCTTTGGCTGCTCTCAACAGTCTGTCATTTTTCAAGATTGGGAAGTTCATTATATCAACACACTGAAAGAATTTTATATGATTAAACACCGCGGCAAGTAGAGATAAACCCTATCATGACATTCGAAATCGAAATTCAAAATTACGAAAACTCCCGTGCCGAAAACATAACCTCTAAAAGTATAAAGTAAACAAAGTTTAGCAAAGATTACACTTTTCGTATTCTGCAAGTTGCTGATTAATATCAAACCAAAATGTAATCTTTGACTGGCAACTAATTGCCAAATTGAAAGGCAATTCAATTGGAAACTGGATGCATGACTAGTTTTGCTGATTTTTGAAACTAGTTGCTACAATTTTTAGTTGCTGAAGGCCAAAGTGTACATTGTTTGCAGATAGGACGAGACTACGCAAAATCTGTCAAATCTGTTCCACTGGTTTCACTTTGTACTTACTCCGATTTTGCTCTAAATCTGAGTGAAAAGAAAATAGGTAGAGAGTGAGAGAGAGAGATGGAAAAACCATGAAAAAAGAGAGCAACCAGCCTTAAAAAAAACTGTAAGGGAGTGCACCAGATCGTAATGCGTGTACCAATTTAGGCTTTATTTCAAAAGTAAGCAAGTAACTTGTATTTTTCATTCTGTGTCATTTTACCTCCATTGATGTGTGAAGTGTGTTCTTTCATCCCTAGAATTCTCTGATTATTGCTTCTGTTGGTAAGTAAACTTTTTCTGGCCTCAGCTCTCAGCAGTTACCGTAGGGAGCCGAGCTCATCAAACCTTGAGTTCGTATGGGTGATAAATTTATCATCAGTTCTATCTCTCATTATAGTTTTAGTGATTTTGAGAACATAATAATTCGTTCTGTGCAACTTCTAGTGACCATTCGACTTCTCTACTCCTAACTTTGCCCCAGTGTACTCTCTCCATTCTTTTGTTATCATCAACCCTGTCACCAGTGGGCCTCATTGAATAAGGGTAAAGTTTCAAATGTTTCATGGGGGTGTATTGGAGCTGAGGACTGTCCTTCTAAATTCAAATCAGCTTTAATTGTGTTCTCTCCCTGGTTATTTATTTTGCGCATTCTTAGTACCTCTGATTTCGCCAGCTCTACCAGGCGCCAGCTTCATGTCTTATTATTCTCCCCTACGTGTACTACTATGTATCATTATGCACGCAATCTCCAATAGCTTAATCACCAGACTGTTTCTCAGAAGTTCATTCTTTATCAATTCTATGCATTAGTGAAGCAAGAGTCCAATACGTCTATTGAAGTTGTAGGCGAGGCTTCTTAGGTGTGACGTGAAATCAACGTAACGATTTGTGGAAACTTTCCCTTCCGAGTCATTTGCAAGAGAAAAAGAGTATAGCACCGAAGACCTGCTTTTTGTTACCTTAGTCTCTGTGTAATTTCTGTGTGTTGCTGTTCAGTTTAACCTAACCTCTCTTACTTCGAGCATCTGCTTCCAAGTTACTTATATACTCAATTTTGTCACTGAAGAGTCAGAGACTTAATATTTTAGCAGAGAGTACTCCATTTATTAACTTAAGTACTCCCTTGTTATGTACCTACTAATTAGAAGTTTTTTGGAACGTAATTGGTATCCTTAAGTACGCAACTGAGTACAGCTCCTCATTGTCGGAGAATCATGGGGAAGTCACCTTTGAAACCTCTAGAAACAGATGTTACCACCACTTATAAGGGTACTAAGTGGTTATTTTAACTATATAAGTGCTCTTCACACTTTTGAGCTCGATGAAAAGACTTCCAAGGTGGGTAGGTACTCTACTACAGAACTCTACCACTTCTACTAACAGAAGGAATTCTGGTCACCTATTTTGAGCCTCGAGCTTTAGAGCTGACTAATGCACCAGCTTCCCTTGCTCTTTACTTAGATGTTGAGTCCTGATGATTAAGCATACCATTTAGATATTTTATATCCATGCTCCTGGAGTAAATATTTAATATCCAGGGAATGACTTGCAATACCTAAGTAGTTGCTAGTGGTAATTTTTTTACTTCCACGACCAATCTAAATATTTAAAAGTTCTCTCCAGTTGATCACCGGGAGAACAATATGTTTTTAGTCCACGAACACTTAAAATTCAATGGCGCATTTGTGCATTGTGTGGTGGTAATGTGTCATTTTTACATATTGAGGCTTTAGTTTTCTAATTTTGAATACTAAACTATGTTGTAAGGGATTTTCAAGGTAGGTTTCATTGAATAGGCTATCAGAATCTGCAAGTTTTTTTGGTAGGTACTCAAAGTCTAGGTACTCAGTAGATTTTCAACCTGAAATCTTGTTGTGCTGTATCCCTCTTGTAGATTCATCCTGAATCAGCTTCAGAATTTGTACAGAATGCTTCTTTTTACTAAGATAATGTGAATTACTTTTTGTTCCCTAGTGTTTTGCTGAACTTACCTAAAATTGTAGAAGGAACATGATTGTTTTGATGTCCTGAGTCTTGCGTCTCATTTTTTACCAAATTCTTCTCTCAGCTCAGTTTTGATCTGTGACTACTCATTTACAAATTTTAAGTTGTACCATTCAATTAAAATTATACAGGCAATTTAGAACCAGGTTGCTTTAATTTATTGCAGGAACCAATTGGACATAATTGCAAGCCAACTTAAATTAGCTAATTAGCTACTGGACCTAAGTATCGATATCAAATAATGCCAGCTAACAAAGTATCAGGACAACGGTAAAAATTACTTGCCACTGCATGATCAATGGAGATGAATCCAAAGGAAAATAAATAAATCCATTACTGAGCAGAAAATTACTGTTTGGACAGACAACAGGATCAAACAGTTGGGGGATGTCTGAACAGTAATCTTCTGCCCTTGTTAGATGGCCATTCAAGATAAGATTAGTTCTACCACTAAGATATGTACAATAGCTTATTACAAAAAAAGGAAGTGGAATTTTGTTGAGCTAGGTCAGAAAGACAGTGTTACATTTTTGGAAAGGAAGCTTTAGCATCCGACCAAGACAATCCCTCTTTTCATCACTTATTTTTTCAATTTTAATTTGATCTGAAAGATAAAACGTTAACTACCCATTGTTCTAATCATTGTTATCTCTGTTTAGGTCAAGAGGTAATGTCCTGACAGTAGGAGGAAATGGCATATGAGCTGAACAGTATGTACATAAAACGTGAAGCTCCTACGCCCTTAGAAGTGCATTCTCGGAATGTTTGTTTCGTTTGTGGGAGTGCTGGACATCGAGACTATTACTGGCTGCGTGTCAAGGCAAACCCAGAAAATCCATCGGAACCTTTTTTTCCATTCTTAAATTGTCATGAACCACCGGCAGGATATCCTGGACCTCTTCATGATTCAGTCGTAAGTATCATCATAGTCTTGATTGATTGGCCGTTGTTGAACCTTAGTTTGAAACCTAGATGTTTGAATCATGTTCACTTTCTAAAAAGCGAAGGAGTCAAAAGATTCCTCCAATTTGAAAGCTCATCAGATGATAGGCCTATCAGGTCTTACCATCAGCAAGATTGATTGCAATGTTTGATTCAGAGTACTTATTTGTTTTTGGCACTCTGTAGCACTTGCAGACGGAACATGGTTAGACACTAGACTTCTGCAGGAGTCATATCGTGTTTTGCAATAAATAACTGAACTCAGCTGGTAGAGAAACAATCCGGAGAGTTTGGAAAATAAATTGTTGTAAGTGTACTGCATGATGTGTGTCATACAGAGAATCCATTTTGTGTAAATAATTTAGAATGGCAATTGTTGCAAAAATAGCTAACACCAGGGATTAATGACCATGGGTAATCAAAGAAACTGGTTCAGGGCTCAATGCTCCAAGTGTCACTCTGAATGAGTATCTGAGGAACAATTTTCAATGCAGTGTTAGTCAATTGAATGAATACTACCAGAAGAAAAGGCTGACATTTATATGTCATTTGAAATGAAAATAATGTAAAATTGTTTTCATTTTCAGCTCTCTGTATTCAAATTGTCAATGGATAAAGTCAGGGAACATTGATACACTGAAAATTTGGAAAAACTATTTTCCGTTAAGTCCATAGACACCCTGCATTGTTTTTTTGGCAGAATGCTTACTCAGTGCATCTTTCTTGAACTGCTTGTCTGTCGGTCGAAATTTTTCCGCAGTATGTGTTGCTATTTCTCCAAGGAAAAGATGAAAGTTTCAGGCTTGAAGGGACTTGACATGGATTTTTAATGCCTTCATAACGTTCTCTTGCCATGGGATACCTTCTTATTTCTAATACTGGGGCTGCTTCACTGATTTTCTCTAGAGGCTCATTATTTTTAAAATGACTCATTAGTAACCCACTATCTCATATTCCTTTAAAATGTTTCCAGAGGAAAGTGTTGCTAAGTTGAGAACCTATGTAACATTTATCCTCTGAGATAAAACTTACAAAAGGAGCAAAGATTTTCAGTATTTAAATGTTTTGCCTCCACGGTGTTAAATCCACAACTAAAATAATTCATAACCCTGCAAAAATGCATTAATATTTTTTAAAGTTTCAGAGATTGAATAGGAAGGTACCAATTTTGAGGAGAACATTGTCTTATTACCCTTCCCCCTACCTGAAGGTATCAAATTTGGCCATGTTATTAAATTTGAAGTAGCGCTAAAAATTCCAACAACTGTTAAATTGCATAGTTAATTAGACAATGCTTTAACCAGCATTTTCTTTTCATAGAACTACTTATTCATAATTATTATTAAATTAATCATTGGCAGGTTTGAATGAATTAAGCGTAATATTTTTACAACTTTTGCGGAAGTAGATTTAAAATGGTAAAGAGGTAGAAATATTAAAGAAGTTCACCAAATTAAATGTCCCGTCCAAATTATTTGTGAATCTGTTTTTAGCTAATCAATCACTATTCAACCTCTGATTTTGTGTATTTATAGTGGGTGATCTATTTCGCATGTATTCCATGTTCATTCCAAATTTTAATTTCTCCCCATTCCAAGGTTGCTGCCTGCTTCTTGTGCTACTCCCTTTTGTTACAACAATGGGATCGACATCAGATGGATGACACACCCCATTCTCAGCGCTTGTATTGGTTGAAGCGCTCTGATAATGGTGCTTTCACCGGTGCAGATATGACATCTCAGGGAGAGTATGCGGCTCAGTTGCTTGGCTTAAATCTAGATCCGACTGTACAACGCAGGTATGCTCAAATGAAATTATATTCTCTAAATTCTACATGATGTCTGACTTAAATACAGAACCATGAAGGTTGTAGCTGCTTGATAGCATTTAGCATGAACCATCTTTGATAATTATAAATTATATTACCATCTTAATTCAGATCTTTCCAATCTCTCCTTCTACACTTTTTTTTTTTTTGCTCAGAAACAGACATGTCAGCGTGTCCAGAATTTTTTGAGGTTTGGCTTGACTTGATTTGGTTTCACCTTCGAGTTGTTCTCAATTTCTTGGTATCCCAATGGATCATGATAATTTGAACTTGATTGTCGAGGAATTGATTTTTCAGGATAAAAATAAATTGAAAGCAACTCAATTTTTTAGTATTGCACCTTTGTTCCTCTGTGAGCTCCGTTTCTCATCTTTACTCAATGGTGAACTTTCAACATAAAACAAAAGAAACCAGCGAATGGAAATTTAACTGTTTTAATATCTGATTGTAAAAGTTAAGGGGGAAAATTGGGACCTTTTTGATTATCTTGATTGTATGTTTGTCAGCTTAGCTATTTAGCAGAAAAGTCTGGATATTCAGGGTTTCTCCCTGCAGTATTGGCATCTGTATATGGTGATCTTGTAAAGTTACTTTCTACTAGTCCTCACTGGTTTTAGATTGATGAAAGGCATGCTTGACGATAGTGCATTAAATTCCATTTAAAATAAAAAAATGTCTCAATGAAGAAAAACAGCTCTTTAGGGCAAAATTGTCTCTCAGAAAGAATTATTTTTTGATACATTATTATTTATTAGTCATAGCCAATTCTATTGTTTTCTCAACTCTGTGTACAAGAGGTTATTCAAATACATATTATTTTACCTTATGCAAACAGAGTTTTGGACACGAGAATTTCCTTGTGGTTACCGATTTTGTAGTGCTAAAATTTTGAGCATCGATAGTCCACCTGATGTTAACACTTAAAATATTTTTGCCTCATTCTGCTTCCAAATAGAGAGCCTGCCCCCTCGTTACCGACAGATGAGCAGTCCAATAAACTAATCTTAGCAGGACCAGGAACCACCTGCGCCTCCTCGGAGCCGCCTCTGGATCTAACTCAATCTCCATCAACCTCACATTCATTGATGAATGGCGCCAACTCCAACCCAGGTATGCATTTTATCTAGGAGTTTATTCCACTGTAGATCTTAAAATTTTAAGCAAATGCTGAACTTTTTCTGTTTCAGTTCCGCTTTACCTCTAATTCCTTTACTCCATTTACATCTTTATGCTCAGTAATTTTTAATGGTTTTAAAATCGTATAACTAATTAAATGAAAAGGAAAGGAATTTTGTTTTGCACTTGTTAAACCTCCCTTTATAAAGCTGCAAAGGGTGAAAATAAAGTAATTATCTTATCTTATCTTACTCTACTTACATTCAGTATTTAGGACCTTTTTATATATTTTAGGAGAAGCCCTCATCTTTTATTGATATGATTCATTGAGGAAAGTATTCTTCAACTTTTTATACTTTGCTAACCCTTCTGGATCAAATGTCCCTCCCAGTGTCATGTTTACCATCATGTTGTCAGAGCTATTTGACTGTTCAAATTTTCTTCTGTCTCTCCGTGAGGTTCAAGGTTAAAAAAATATGAAGAAAAAACAGATACAAACCTTTTTGTTTGCTAGATTTCGTAAAGTCTGAAAGGAGTGCATGGTGTCATATTCATCAAAAGTTCACTGAGTTATGACTTTATTACGTGATAATTTACCTTGTTTTCCTGATTTGTATTTCTTTAGCGTTGGTGAGTGCTATACTATGATCAAGCCGAAATGGTCATAATATAGCACTCGCCTACGCTAAAGAAATACAAATTGGGAAAGCAAGGTAAATTACCATCTAATAAATCATAATGAATCCTGATCAAGCTAAAATTTCACAATGCTTATGACTTTAGGAGATTTTCTTATTCCGTTCATCCCAGAAAAATTTATGACCCCAGAAAATCGTCCTATTCTCTTAGTCCTAGACTCAAAATTTTATAATAGTAATTCACTGAATCAGAAAATAATGATTACTTAAAGGTATCGATATTCTCAATGAAAGATAGCTTTATGATTTTCATCATGCTTTCATCCAGAAAACACATATTAGTGAGGTTCCATATCTGTATTTCTCTGATTTTTCTGTTTTGTATAATTTTAGGCAGCTACAGCAGCACCGGAACAGATATTCTGGATCTTTCCATGCCAGACAAAAACTCTCTAACTGAAGTCTGCTACATCTGCGGTGATGAATTCAAAAGAGGTACTCTTCGCCAGATTGCTGTCAAGCCTCTGACAGATAATAGTCAGTGTTCGACAAGTAACGGCAATCAGTGCATACCAGCCAGCAAAGAGCCTTACTTTCCTAGCTTAATGTTTCACCCTCGGCCGAGTCGATCTAGACCAGTTGACAGCTCAGGAAGGGTTCAAGCCTGTGATTTATGTCATTCACATTTGCTGCACCAGTGGCAGGTAAGATCCAAAAATGTTCTCATGATCAGTCACAACTCATTTGATCAATGATCTGAGGGAGTAAAACTCCCCAAACCTAATAGATGCATTTTGGCGCTTTGCAGTGTTTTAAAAATTAAAATTTTACACAGCTAGTTGGCAAGGTCTTGAAAATGGTGGGAATTTTGTGGAAAGCTGCAGGAGAATATGTTGGAAGATACTGGGTAGGTGTTTGAGAATGTTGAAGGCTAAAACGTTCTGCCCCTCTGTGCGCAGCTCTTTTTTTCTCTTTTCTTTGGAAACAGTGACTTGATGTCTTTTTGCTCAACTCAGTTCAAGTATAATTAGTGCCAATAACATGCAGCTAATATCGAAATCTAATTTTAAATTTACTTGATTATTGATTGCTATGTCTGATGTTTTTTCTTACTCCTCTCAAGAATATTTTTTGAAAAGAAATGAGAGATTTAAAATAAATGGGGCAACAAACAATTAACGACTTTGGGTAATTTCCTTTTAAAAGACAAGCAAACAAAATAAAAAAATTTCAATCACCAAAACTTGTCTCCATCTAATTTTACCGTTGTACCTGCATATCCAGGTATCTCAGTTCCCACACAAGATTCCGCTTGTTCTTATTATTATATCATCTCTTTTTGTTGCTGAACAAAGTAAATCATGTTTTCAGGCTTACACAGCAGAAGGAATTCCGCACTCCGAGAGGGATTATGTTCTTCGGAAACGAGCCACTCCTTCGCTTGATTCAACCACTTTTGTTTGTTACACTTGTGGCTTGGAGTATCCATCTAGTTGCCTCAGACTCTTATACTGTTGTCCTAATTCTGAGAAAGAAGCATATTACCCATTTTTGTATAGTGTGAAGCCACCTCCTGGAGCTAGTCCTATATCTCCTCAAGGAATGGTTCAAGTAAGTATGTCATAGCCCTTGTTCATTAATTAAGGACATTTTCTTGTCTATAGACTCAATACAAGTTTTGAACCTGCACCTAGTTTGTTCTTAACTGGAAATAAAAATACAATTTCACTCAGTTCCAATTGATCTATCATCAGCACCTTACACTCCAAGACGCAAGCGTCTTGGGATGTGCCAAGCCGTATGTGTGCCAGTAACCTGATGTCTGTCAATTTGCCCGGACTTTAAAGCGCAATAAAAGTTGAACGTGGCATCAAAAGAAATTAAAATCTATGTTTTTCAACTCAGCTCAGTGAACAGAAAAAGTATTCCAAATTTCATTCAATTCTGAAGGGGTCAGGTCAAAAAGTGTTAATTTTTGGTCTGATTTGACATGGAATAACCCACAAGTCACTTGCAGTAATCTGGCACTTTTTCTGAAGGTTCTGCAATTAATTTTGTCACTTATTAACAATGGATCACTAGACAAGGTACAAATTTACGCGTTCTAATTCTTATATTGATTATTTGATTATTGATTTTTGATATTTCAGGTTTGTTCCATATGCTACAAGTCAGTGCCACAGAAACACGCTAGTGGAAGTGCCAGTAACCTGAATGTTACTGTCACCGATGCAAGGTTACCTACACCCCCTCAGTCGCCCCAAGTGTACTCTCGTCAAGTGAAATCACCGGCAGACATTCGATTTAAGCCTTATGAAATTTCCAAACACGGCAAAAACTCAAATACCTCATCCAAACCAAATTCAACCATTGCAAATGCCTCAGTCGTAAGTTCATTTGTAGTTCTGCCTGTAATCTGTTTTGTTGTCGTACAGAGAATGGTTCGAACAAAAGCGATAAAACTAGAAAGAGCTGATATGCTATTCAGACAGGGAAATAAAAAGGATTACCTAAAACATTTCGCACACATTTTTGTAAAGATTTTCATGATAGTGGTGTTGATAAGTGTGCAAGAAGTTTTCTATGAAAATTTTAGCTCAAAAAAGTTCTAAAATGTAAAAACTGAATAGAATGTATGACCATCGATAGTTTTTAGTTGAAAGAAAGTAGTTTTGAGAAAAATCCAATAAACTTTAAATCTGCCCCCAAAACCATTAGATCACAGTGCTTTTTTCTGCCTTGTAATGTGCAAAAAATAGAGCCTTTTAACTGTCAAGAAGCAACTGATATGCCTTTGCAAGAAGAAACACATTGGGAATTTAAAATATTGCATTTTATGAAAATTCAAATAACTGCAATTAAGTTTTTGATTGAATTATGATAATGATAAATTATCGTGATCAGAAACAGAGAAATCAGTCGTATTTATTCATTAAGTTCGCTTCATTGTAGAGTTCTACCAAAAAATGAAGTATATTTATTCCTATCAGTAACAAAATGGTAAAATAGTGCTCGGTCCACATTATTTTGCTATTTTTCAGTTTTTTCACTTGTCTCATTCGTACCCATTCAATGAAATGCGAGAATTCGGTAATTATTTTGAACATATCACATGGTGCTAGTCCCAGGCAGATTTTTTCTTATCATTACTGCACTACTTTTCAAATTTGTCTCAATTGAAGTCAAAAGTCTCAAAATTGTTTATTTGTCAATTATTTAATTTAGTTGTTATTCACTGTGCCTATTGAGGTCTGGGAAGCAGTACTTCCCTCGCTCACATGGGCTTCTCGCTGTAGATAATATTTTTTTTATAGGAGCTGTCTCAGTTGTAAGTGATTGTGTTTATTGTATTTTTCAGGTTGATTCTCTACCCAGTAGCACTCCAGCAAGTACGGCAGCTTCAAACGTATCTGGAGTCAACCAAGGACCCTCAATGCAGAGAACAATCTCTGCAGCCTCCGCATCTTCCAGTTACAATTGTTATGTTTGTCTAAACTCTGTCCCAGGTTCCCAATTAGAATGGCTCAGTACAAGTGCTGAAGGTTTAAATTCTCATGCTATGCATTTTCCATGCCTACGTTACCTATCTAGGTGTGCTATTTTTCATTCTGTCTTTTCAATTTTTTTCTTTCTTTGCTCCATTTTCCTGTTGGATTAGACATGAAATTTTAATTTTACAGACGGTTTTATCACGGTTAAAAGGGCTGTTGTTCTAGTATTGATCAGTGATTTTACAGTTGAAGTACATCAATCAATCGATCAAAAGTTTTTTTGACCAAAACTTTCATTCATAGTGAGGCTTTACGGTACATTTGGGTGACAGTTCATTTGACCTTACTTATTTGCATCCAATTCCATGCAATTATGTACTCCAGAAGTAGGAGCCCTATCTCTATATCTACGCTTTGCATTTCATGAATTAATTGGACTGCAATTTTTAGTTAGAAACTACTATTTCCGGCTCATTCATAAAAGAATATATCTGCCTGAAAAAACCAACGGCATGGACATCGTTTCTAGTATGAGGCAGAAGTATTAATTCCGTATTGCAAAATGTAGGTTTTGTACGTTGTAGAATCAATTAATCTTTTTTTAAATTAATCAATTATTTATTCTACTATTGAAAAAGGTATTTAAAGGTTCATTAATGAAATGAATACTAAGCTAGTCAATAGTTGTTTGGCCATTGAAAATGGTCTGCAACACATCAGCTATCTCAATCCTTGTCACGTCTCTGTCATTTATTTTTATTTGATTACTTTTTATTTTTTGTGTGCCCACCTTTAGGTCTTCAGAAAATTGCTGCATAGATTCACATGGCCGTGTTCTAACTTGTGTAAATTGTGCGCAGCATTTAGGTAAACAATGGGAATCAATGGAAGCTGAACGGATTCCGCTTGAACGTAGGAAGTAAGTGAATCACAATTCCTCCATTTCTAAGTACGTCAGATGAAGTTCTTCTGAAGAAGAAATGCAGCCATTTGTCTTCAGTTAAGTACTTTGCCCGCCATGCTGGTTGACTCAACCAGTTTCAATGTATTCTGTAGGCTTGAACAACTGATAAATACTGCTGGTAGTCGCACAGCCAATTTTCCCTTATCAGCTGGGCCCTGCGGAGCGTGCCATCCCTCGGCATTTAAGTATGCCAGCAACACTTTCCAATGGTCAACAGAGAGGGACACTGTTGTTTTACTCAGATAACTTGTCAGCATACTGTGTTTGAATTTTTAATGGGCATTTTTCGAGGATTTCTATAGCCTGGCAGGAAATGACTGCCAAGACATTATGGCAAGCAATGTGTTGCATTCTTATTTCACGTGGAAACTTGAAAGTAAAAATTAATTTATGTCCTTCGTCCTGAGAAAGAAACAAAAGAAGTGGTATTTTATTCGTCTTTTCTTCCCTTCAATAGACGCATTTAGTGTGATGTCACATCTCGATTAATTTCAATATCTCGAAAGTTGAAATGTGCCCCAACAAACGAACACAACATTCGTCCGAAGACTAAGTACTATGTCACGAGCTTATTATATTATCCATTCGTGTGTATGTGGTCTCAAACGTATTGGAAAATAACTAGCTTTCATGATTTTACGGTCTCATGAATTAATGTTTCAGTTTTGGGCTAGTTTTAGCATTCTTTCATCAATTGTTCATTTTGGAGGTTATGGTTGTTTGTTGGGGCACATTTCGACTTTCGAGATATCGAACCAACAATATCGCTCCGTGACGTCACCACTAAATGCGTCTATGAAAGTCAATTTCTAACTTTTTTCAAAAAATTAAACAAAATATGTTATATTTTTGACCTCAAAAACATGTCTCTTATTCAATATTTTAGACTTCTCCTTAAAATATTTTCTTTCTATCCATTCCAGTTACAATTTAGGTGTAAATGGGTCTAGCGTTTGCTCAATAGCTCCAAATAGTAACAGTTCTACCTCCTCTTCCATGTATTGCTTCCTGTGTGGTCTTCACTCTGATCTGACTCTCGCTCGAGTCCTCTACGCTCGTCCACAGGTAATTTTTAAACCTCAATCTCAATTTTGATCTATCTTCAACCTACAAAGTTTTAATGAAGCATTGAAATCAAAGATCAATCCTTTTTATTTTGATGACATTTTAGTTGCACTGATCTTGGAATTGTAATTCCATGGCTGAATATTTTTCATGAGCATTAAATGATAGTACATCACCAAACACTAAGTTCATGTGTCAAGTGTGAGTAGACGAACCGAATACGGCGAACCAACTGTCCAGCCGGAGTTCGGCTGGTCAGTCGTTCTTCAAACGACCCAACACGAACTTATTTCGGCTCGAGCGGTCGGAGCTAAGCACGGCTTCCAAACGCCCGAAGTCCGTGGCACACATCGCCTTAAAGTCAGCACTTCTCGCCTCGAGTCATAGCTCATCCCGGCGTTGCCAGCTTTCCATGCAAAACAATGGTTTTGTATGGGAATCCGGTTCGTCTCCCCACACAAGTATGAAAAAATGTACTGTCCTTTGATAAAAAATTGTTAATTTTAATAATTTATCTTCATAATTTTTTGCTTTAATTTCCAAAAGTCGCAATGTTTTCATCAAAATTAAATGTCGCATCAGATTTTATGGCAATCTAGAAAACCTGGGTGGTCAATGAATTCGCTGCGACCTGGAAAAGTCAGGGAATTTTGCAAGTAGTGCATCAGCTAAGCAACTTCAGCCAGTGCAATTTGAGAGTGCAAACAACTTCCGATTGCCTTTTTCCTGAATTTGAATCGCTATAAGTGGAGATTTTGCCAAGAGTTAAGTAATGGTCAGCATTTTCAAAAGATAAAAAAGTTAAAAGGAAGTTTTGATGGAAAGTCTGGAAAAGTCAGGGAATTGGAAAATGAAGAAATTATGAAAATCTTTAGTTTTTCTTTAAGCTTCGATGGTGAAGAGGTCTAGGCCATTCACAGCTAGCACTAAAGTCTCTGGTTCGATCCCTTGAGGTGATGGTATTTGAGGGTCCAATACTGCTCGGCATAAGGTACAAAAATTGTAAACATTGTGAATTAACAAGAGGGCAATGGACCGCTGTGCCATTTTTCTCTGATGAAGGAAATCAGTGGAAATGTAGTTGCTGCTCTTTAATACAGATACGTATGTGAACATGTGATATCTACTGAATTTACTCTGTTGTAATTTTCTTGATCTTTACCCTTCCGTATCACTTAAAAGAGTCAGTGTCCATTTAATGAGAGTTTACCAAGTGATTTTTTCTTTTTTTTTCAGGGTCGCAATGCACCTTATTTTCCCTCGCTCCTGCAACATAAGTCACCCTTGAATGCAGAGCAGTTGAGAGATGACAAGTCAGCCTTAGTTTGTACATTTTGTTACCACTCAATGGTGTCCCAATGGCGTCGCTATGAACAGACAAGCACACCAAGCGATGATCGTCATTACAATTTTCATGATTATTCATGTAGTTTATGTAAAACCATTACATATAGACGCAGAGTTCGTGCTTTACCTGTAAAAGTATGTAGAATTTTATATTATCAGTTATTTCTATTTGGAACTGCAATCTCTTTCAATTGCAATTTCCCTTCTAATTGTAATCAGCAAGTGAAGTAAAAGCTCTATCCACTTGATTTTACTGCGCATTGGATTTTCTCCAGGTATCTGCCCAACCCCTTCTAAGAACAACCTTTAATTAATAGGAATTTACTGGGGGTTTTTTTTTTTTTGGGGGGGGGGGATTCAGTGGCAGAATTTTAGCTCAAATTGTTAGATTTTTTCTGAAATTGCCTAATATTTGGGTCTCTTTTAGGCCTGCAGAAGGTCTTTTTTGGCTAGTGTAGAGCATTTACTATATATATGAATTGCTGAATATCTAGTAGTCTCACTCTCAAAAAGTGTCACTCAGACTTCGATATTTGTAATATTTTCTCGCTAAAAATTTTAACGATGATTAGAAAGAAAATCAAGTATGCAGTAAATACATTATTTTTTTTTACATTTGATGCATTTAAAAACATAGCGCTGAATATTATTTAATGTACCTCCTTTTTATTGTTTCAGGATTATTCATTCATTCTGCATCAAGTTGACAAGCCTTTACTCATCGAAAATAACGATTACGCGGTAGTGTGTCTAGATTGTTATGAAACGTTGAGAAAACAAGCGTTAGAATATGAACGATGGGGCCTTCCAGTAGATAAAAGAGAATATAATTGGCTTGCTCAACCTCCTCCGCCTGAAGACAGCCCAGAAGTGTCAGTTGCAAGATTACCCTCGGGTCAGCGGTCTGATAAAATAGTAAGTTTCTGCGCAAGCAATGATTTTTTTTCTCTGAAGCTCATATGAAGACGTATTAAGTCGTCTTAAGGGTTAATTTCATTGTACCAATTTTTGCATAATTCCAGACGGCAATTTACTCTTGTAGCAGGACAGAGATATCCTTTAGGGAAAAAAAACTGACACTTGCCTGTGACTAGAAACATTCAGAGCTGCCTGTATTTTTTCTATTACCTTTTTTTTAATCAATCAAAGAAAACTCATCTGTGCTAAGCAAAGTAAGTAATTCGTGAGAAATGGTGTTGAGGGTCAGGGCCTGACTGCTATTTTTTTTTAGCTCTAGTTTGAACAACTTTATTGATTTCCAAGGCTGTATGTGAACCTTCAAAAAAATGGATGAGATAGGAATTCCAAACATTTTTGTACCTTAGTGGGTATTTACAGTTTTTAGAAGATGCATTACAAATGACAGCTGTTCAAAAATGACCAAGAGCATTTTTTAGGGATATGTCAGGTGCTGGCACTTAATAATTGTTTCTTGTACGATTTCTTTAGCCTGAATGGCCTCCATCGCAAGCTTGTCGAGCTACATCACTCATAGGTACATTCTAACAAAGCAATTCTTCTTTAACTGTTTTTATAGGTTCCAGTATCCTTACCAAATCGATCCAGTAATAAAAATGGTCCATCGAAACAGGCAGATAGGAAAAGCTCAAGTCTACATATGCAAAATCCCTCCGGCAAATTAGATCAAGGTAAGATATTTTCCTTTAATGCTTGCTCTTCTTTTTGTGCATGATGGGTTTTGTTATCAGCTTCATTATTTAAAAGATGCGTTATTTAACTCAACAAAGTTGGCTGTAATTGATACATGATCATGACAACAGTCGCAGAAGTAAACAATAATCAAAGGCGGAGCACCCAGCTAACATTCCCAAACCTTGGTGAGTCGTTGAGCAGTCTTGAGTGATTCCTCAAGTTACGCGTATTGAAAGCCAGTTTTCTGCCATTTTTGTAAGTGTTTTTTTCTTTTTTCCATTGAAATTTTTACTCAAGAAAAAGCAAAGGATTAGAATATCTTCTCTAGTTCAAGATCATGTTTTTGACTTGCAAAAAGAAGCTGCATGGAGTATTTATCAAAACAAAAGAAAGTAATAAAATTAACCGTTAAGGAGATTTTCAATGAGATTACAGAGGGTCAATTCTGCAATTCTGTTCGTAAGAGTGGTATGTATTATCCAACGCAGAAGTACTTACGGAACTGGATAAAGTACATTGAAAAACATCCTGACCTGAAAATTAATTTAGAGAGTAGCAGAAAGAAGATCAGAACTTGTAGACTTGGTATTCTCTTAAAAACTTAAAGATGCATCATTTTACCCTTCACCCTTCACCAATATTTTTTTAACATTCTAGCAAATGAAGCAGAAGGATTTAACCTTCAAGTCGTAACTAATATTATATCTATAGTGTCATCAGTTTTGAAATGGTAGCCTCAGCCTACTTTCTTTTTGGGACAATCAGCTTACAGCCAAAGTTTTTGGCCTCCTTTTTGTAACCTAATAGGTAATCCAAGGCTCTTGGCAGATTTCAACCCAAGGTTATACCCAACAAGAAGTTATAGAACCACATCTAAAAATAAGTAGCCCCTGTGGATTACAAGAATATGGAACAGGGCCCTTGCATGAATACGATTTGGAAAGTTTTTGATTATTCTTCCATTTGAAAAATTTCTAATCCATGTCGTTTTAAATTTTCAAAAAGTCTTTGGTATGACTTATTTTGGAGTTAATTAAGTAGATAAATGGCAATCATCATGAAAGTAATTTGTATTTTTAGTCTAAGCTTGGGAACCTTGTTAGCTACTATACCTGTTTTTGCTGTTGCCCTCCCAGTTTATTTACCATTATTTTATTTTTGTCCCTCATTGTAATTTTTCTACAAGTTAATTTTTTTCCATCTAATTCATTTTTATAATCCAATCTAAGTTAGGGATGGTTGGGTTAGGAAAAATTGGATTAATGAAACACAAGGGATGTTAAGGACATTTTGAATTAGGATCAAGGACACATCGGTGATATTAGGGACGTTAAGAATATTAGAGACAGGCGCGTGAGTCGCTGTTAAGACAGATGGGATTAGCCCTTGTGTGCTAGTTGAACTGCGTCTAACAGAAAGGAACCAATCCACATTATCTATTGCCAAATTTAACTGGGCATTTTAATTTTTTACGAGAGGATATTCTTACGGATTCTTTCAAAAATTTTAAAGAATTTGCTTCGCACCATGGAGAAAATTCACTGAAATTTGCACAAAAATCCGCAAAATATTTTTCGTGTATAAAATTAAATTGCCCAATTAAATTTGGCAATAGCCAATGTGGCTTGATTTATTTCTGTTTAACACAGTCAAGTTGAAGTTCAAAAAAAGAAAAGGGAGAAAAAAAATTTAATGTTTAGTGACTCGGTTGAATTTTTGTTATTGTAACATCAAAATCAAGGTTAAACAGGAAGCATTGACTTTTTTTAACTCAGCCCTGAGAGAACAAGAAATACCTGGGTACCTATCATCAGAGGGGAAGTTTCACCTTGTAAGTGGTGGTTTGATTGATGTGTTGTCAGGAACGAGGGTGATAAAGCGGAAGCTCGCCGGCACAAAGGGACGAGGGATGCTTTTCTTTATCGACACCTCTTTTCTTCTCGCGTATCACCCCCCGCGCCCCTCCACCGCAACCACCCGCAACCCTCCGTCGCGTCGTCACCCCGTCAGTCCATCATCGGCGGCCGTCCCTCCCTCCGCCGCCGTCCGCATCCGCTCTCGGGTTCCGCGAGAAATCCCGATCGAGCTGCGACATCTCGCGAGAAAAAACAATAACATCGTTTGTTGTCAAAATGGTGGCGGCGGCCCGCCTGTCGGTTTCGTGCAGAATTTCGCGAAAAAATCGTGTTTTCCCGTGCGTGTCGCTCAGTTTTCCGCGCGCGACAGTGTTTCCTTGCGTTTCCGGGCTATTCCAAGTGTTTTCGGTGTGAATGCGTGTCCCGACACAGCGGAATCGGCCTCCCTCGGTTCGATCCAAGTTTTTAGGTTAATCTCTACCTTGAAAATTTTTCTCACTTCGAGCTACTACCTTCCTTTATCGACTGTCCGCTCTTGTTTCCAAATAGCCCTCAATCCTTTCGGGTCAATTACGGCTCAATCTGCTGCCCCTGTATGAAAAAAATTCAAGAGAGGGCTTGCAAATTTTTCATCTCGAATCCTATCACAACAACTGATTATCAATTCGCATTACAGTTTTTATCACGCACCTATCGCCTCAAATTCTGTAGCCCTTTTCTCATTTCTCACGAAGCAAAGCAGATTGGGAATTATTCAAAGCCTAATCTCTGCACATAACAAACTAAGATCACTCTGCTGTGATCTCATTGAGAAATGACGGCTGTCAATATTCAGCTTTTCTCGGAACATCTGACCTCTGAGCATAATCAATTGAAGTTTTTACGATTTCAATTCATTCGGTCGTAGTCCGTATTCACCATTCAATCCATGGCAGCATCTTGATCATGAATTCCTATTCTTTATGATTAGGTATTTTGTGTCAGGTATTTTATGCTCCTTGCTTGAGTTTAATTCAGTGAGCTCTGAATTTTAGCTACGTTAGTTCTTCTGTATTTTCTCCGTTACTTCTTAGCCTTCAGGTTGGTTTGATTATTGCGAGGAGAAGAATGTATCACTGATGAGTACCCAGACAGAGTTTTCTTTCAATATTGGAACAGATTTTATTTTTAGATCTCTTTGGTGGTCGTTAACAATTGAGCAGATAGTTTTCTGTTTGGAGAGGTTTAAAACAAGACTGTCATTTTACCCGCTTCTTGACAGCTTACTTCCACTGATTGTAATAAAGTTCATCAATTAAATATGTTCTTTCAATTTATGCTCAGAGTGATGATGCTAAGTGAACATGAAATTTTTTTAGTGGAAGAGTCTTGAGTGTGAAAAATTTTCATCCATTAATTTGTGCATTAAACCTGTGATAATTAGCGACTGCGTATCGGCTTTTTATGTGCGCGTACTCTCGGTAATCTGTGTTCGTTATGGATTTTAACCGTCCGGGTCTAAATCCGCATGTCCCGGGACCAATGGTTCCTCCAAATATGAGCAATCTTCTCTACTACCAAGGTTTGTTTTAAGTAACTTGTTTGCTTAATATGAAAATCTGTTGTGTTCTTCAATCCTCAAATCCACAAGCTACCACAACAATCAAATGGGTCGGCAGGTTATTTTGTTGATAGTCTTATCTGCTTTTCACACAACCAGCGTCTCTTGATTTCATCGGAATGAGAACGTTTGTAGAAATGGTAGAAAAAATGGGGATTTTTGCGAGATTAGAAAGAACAAGGTAGTAAGGACGGTTGCTGAACAGCTAAACGAGATCAACTCTTGAGAGCTATTTGAATTAAAAGAAAAAAGGATGTACTTATCTTAGTATTGAATGAACAAAAAAGCCTCCTTATTCACGATTCTTTGTAAAATTCTTGTATTTAGCGAGAAAATAGGGGATAAATTTAAAGCAGCAAAATGCTGTGGTTGTTCCGTAGAAAAAAATTAATATGATTGCAATATTTATAGACAGGGCATTGGAGAGAGTTGTTTTTTCACTAGACGCCTTGAACAAATGCCTAGCAGAGTGATTAAAATCCTTTGCAGATAACCCTCCATGGTTGAATCCCATATTTTCTTTGTATCTAAACCATAAATGTATTCAAGTTAGAAAAAATGTATACTTTCATGAGTGGTTAACAACTTAAGCCCATGCTGCGTGGTTTGTTCTGAAATGCCTTGAGAGATTTTGGTCCCTGCTTAACTGAAGCATCCATTCCATCAATTCTGATTTGACATGATGTTTTATAAAAATCTTAAGTCCTGAATGTTCAAATTTTAACCTTCGATCTTTATCTTTCTGTTACAGGGTTGGTCAAATCCCCAGCAGGAGGAGTCGGGACGAAACCACACCATCATACCATACCTGGCCCGGGTCCTGGGCCCGGTCCTGGCCCTGGAGCTCCGCCCTCGCAGAGCTCAGGGAATCGTTCCTTTGCAGCCGCTTTACGTAACTTAGCCAAGCAGGCTGGCCCAACCAATGATAGGAATGAAAACGATTCCGAGAGAGTCAGTTCACCCAAAACGCGAGGTCCTCCTCAGCCACTAGTCAGGGGTGCGTCACCCCAACCATTAAAAGGGCAGGATAAAGACCGCCCTGTACCTAATATTGGCTCTGAGCAGAGGAGCGGTTTTCAGCCGTACAGACCGCCAGAGGATGGGAGAGGTCCGGTTTCGGTGAACGTTTCACCTGCTGGAGCTTCTCCTCATCCTGCGTTTACCCTAGATCCCTCGGCAGCAGCAGCGGCTGCTGCTTACAATCCCTATCACCATCCTCCCACTGCCGCTGCTCTGTATCCACCTCACCTTCAGCATCCATATCGGTGAGTAATCTCATCATGCACTGTGATTTTTTAAGCATACTGAAGAATCCTATGTCTTGGTTACTTACTGTATCCAAAACATTTTTTTCTTTTTCTTATTTTATCTAATTTTAATTTTTTTCTTCTTATTTACAAGGGAAAAAAAATATCCTCAATACCTTACTCAAAAGTTTCAGATTTTGGGTGGTACCTGTGGTGGTGTGGGTTTGAGATCCCCCCTCAAGGTCGAGAGAAATAATGCAAAATCTCATTCATAATCAAAAATTTTGTTAAAAGAAGTTAAGTGTGTTTTGATAACTAACCAAGATAAAGGATTTTTCTAGTTTTGTCATTGATATTGCAAGGTTCTTGCAGATACTGAAAATACGATCTTGGGTGTTTCTGAACCTGTTATTGTACTTGAAATACTCAAATTCTGAAAAATCGATGAAATATACTTTGATAATCTTGAAATTTTTAAAGAAGGACAAAATCACCCTTAAAAAACTTGTAAAAGTAGGAAAAATGTAGGGGTGCAGAAAATGCCTGGTCTCACTGGTATGAAGCAATTTTCAATAGTGATAACCTTCCTTTTTTTCCCCATTTCTTCAGAAAAGGGTGACTAATAGCTCATTTTATTGAGAAATTCGGCTCATTGCCATTATGTAAGATGTTGATCACGAGGCAAATCCAAACTATGCTGTAAGACCCAAGTACCAAGTTATGGCAAACTGGGCATTTTGAACATTTTTTCATCCCTGATGGAACTTATTCAAATACTCCAAGTATTGACGCGTATAATGTCGCAGACAGGTCTGCCTACCATTAACTAGGCCCTCGGCTCCAAACTACTGTCTGCCCCTGTTTGATTGATAATATTTTATCGTAAAAATTGACCACAAAATTTTCAAATAGAATTTTTGGCATGTCTAATGCCCGGAAGCACTAAATTCTTACCAGGAATGGATATCAGGAAGGTTAAATGGATTGCATTTTGCAAAAAGGAACCATTAGCATTGCAATGATGCTAAGATTGTACAACTTCATCCTTTGCAATAAATTTGCGGAAATTGTGAAAACCTATGAAATTTAGATGGTAATTTTTGTCTTAAATTCACAGTTTTTAGCAAGTAAAATAAAAACTATTAATGGATAATGGGGTTTTTCCTCCAAGACAAAAGAAGTTGCACAATCTTAGCAACATTGCAATGCCAGTGGCTCCTTTTTGCAAAATGCAATCCAAATAGGGTACTGTGCCTTTCAGCAGTCCGATTGTTGAAATTTATGTCGGCACGACAAGAATAAAAAATCGATATATTACATGGCACAGATAGGGCTATGTCTTGTCTTATAGTGCCAACATAGCCAGTTTAAGTTTCAACAATCCGCCTGCATGTCTCTAAATGGACAACTTCTCTCCCTTTTCTTGCGGTTTAAAATCATAATTCCAACTCATATTACCTTACTAGGGGGCTACGCCCCCTGGCCGCTACGCGGCCCAACCCCCTGAAGGCGCTCCGCGCCATCAATGGGCCGCTTCGCGGCCCTATTTTTACCCCCCTATCAGTGTTAGTTTTATTTTTCCCCTAAAAAATTACGATATGAGGTATACTTCAATTTTAAACTTTACTTAAAATTACTTTAAAATTAAAAGGACGCGTTTTGGAATGACTGCTTGATGAAATATTGCAGTAAAACAATAAACAATGATAGTCAGGCAAATGTTCTCATGATTCGGGATTCGAACCCACACCGAGCTCAATGTGGATGCATTCGTCGTCTTAGACGACTCGGCCACCGCTCAGCGGGAGATATCAGGTGCGAATCTTGTGTAGATAAGGGTAGAGCTGATGCGCAGGCTTCACAGCTATTGCGCAACCTCCTCGACCACTGCGCATCCTCCCGCGCATAGCGGTAGCAGTACCGGAGCATTCTGTAAACTCACTCACTTTTATAACGTGATTTTAAAAAAACCTGGGTCCTTTTTCCAAAATTTGATTAGAGCGGGCTCATCTAGGGCCTATTACCTGTCGATTTACGCAAAAATCATGGAAATCGGCCCGGTAGAACGCTCAAACGAACTATGACAAAAAGTATAAATTTACATTGTTTAAATGGGAGAATTCGCAACTTTACCACGTAATATAAAAAAACCTGGGTCATATTTTGAAAATCTAAAAAGAGTTGGCTTATCTAGAGACAATTGCCCGTCGATAGCCGCAAAAATCATGAAAATCGGCCCGGTAGAACGCTGGAACTAAGCGTCGCCAGTTTTGCAAAATTAGGAGGTCTTGGAGCTTATAGTATAGATAGTAAAGATAACATGTCTCTCTGTAAGTATGTGCAAATATCTCAGGATATCATCCTTATAAAGAAAGCTGCTGATTTTAGCCCTTGTAAGGAACGCCCATTCAGATGAAGTTACGTTTTCAACTCATCATTTCCCTGACAAACAAAATATATTTCGGCTTTATAAATGTATGTAAGTTTTTAAAAAAATGAATTTTTTTTTTAAAGGTTTGAGACAGAATGTAATCATGCTGCCCCCTGCATTATGTGAGCAAGTCATTTCCTGCTCCTCTTCTTTTATCCATTCCTGAAGGTTTTCATGTGTAAGTACACATGAAAACCTTTCTCAGTGTTCGAAACTCACATGCGCCTAAGAAATCGGTCATGGCGCCTAAAAACTGAAGGCTCTGTGCCAACCTGGCCCCTAAAAAATCAACCCCCCCTCCCCCCAAAAAAACAAAATCCCAATTTTTCTGTTGCGTGTTTTTTTGAAATCTCTCTTAAGTTACAGTTACTAGTTCTGTAACGAAAACATCTTGTGTCTAACTTTTCAGTAAGTGCGCCGTGATGCACAGGCGAAAAGTGAGTTTGGCCCAAAAAAAATCTTCAATGGACCCTAAAAATCGAGTTTGATGCGCCACATGGCTTCTGATACTCAGGGATGAGTTTCCAACACTGACCTTATTGTAAACTTTTAAATTTGTATGCCCTTGAAAGTATGTAGCATGTATTAATTATTACCATTTCTGTGTTTCAGTTTGGATGACCACTTATACTTAGAGCGATGTGGTATGTCCCTTTTCCCTCCTTACCCTCCTGCTTTATACGGATTAATGCCAACCCCTCTGGGACTCATGACTCCATCAATGCATGAAAGGTAAATATCTTGCTTCTTATTGTTTCACTGAGTATTATTAATGTTATCACATTTTGTCATCTCAGTCATAGGCTAACCACTGGAAAATCGGCGTATTTACCGCGATACTGAGATGAAGGGCTTGTAATTTCTTAGGATTCTCCGAATTCGATGGAGAAATCGCGTAGTTCTCGCGTTAATCTACGCAATTTTGCGCATTTTATCAAGTGGAATCCAAGCAAGCAATTATTTGAACTCCGGAGTAGGTTTGTGGTATCACGCAAAATTGAAGGAAAATCATAGCCCTCAGCCTGTCTCAAGTCACGGACGTTTTTGAATATTAAGCTCACACCTCTACAAAAATCGCGTTATTGCCGCGATAAGGTGAAAATCGTTTGATTTTTTTTTTTTTTTTTTTTTTAAATCTAATGAACCGCTGAAAATTTTACGTTTTTGCCGCGATATGGAGGTAAACTACATGTAACTTGCAATGATTTCACATAATAGCTTATTCCCCGCAATATCACTGAGATTATCGCGTAATTTAGGTGAAAAAACCGTAAAAGTCGCGTGTTTACCGTGATACCGATGTGTAGAGCTTTTGCGTACTTCTCGCGATTTTATGATGAATTTTGCGTAATTTCGCTCTTTTTAACAAGTGGAACCCAAGTGAGCAACTATTCGAACTCCAGAGTAGGTTTGTGGTATCACGCGTAATTGAAGGAAAATCATAGCTCTTAGCCGATCTCAAGTTACGGACGCTTATGAATATTAAGCTTTTATTCATACAAGAATCGCGTGTTTTCCGGGATGAGGTGAAACTAGTGTGATCTTTTTTTTTTTATTTTAATGAACAGCTGAAAAAGTACTTTTTTACCTCGATTTTGAGGTAAACTACGCGTCATTTTCAATGATCTCACAAAATAGCTTTTTCCCCGCATTATCACGGTGAGTATCGCGCAATTTAGTTGAAATTGCAATAAAAATCACTTGTTTACTGCGATACCGAGATGTAGAGCTTGTAATTTCCTAGGATTCAACGAATTCGGTGGAGAAATCGCATACATCTCGCGATTTTATGATGAATTTTGCGTAATTTCGCTCTTTTTAACAAGTGGAACCCAAGTGAGCAACTATTCGAACTCCAGAGTAGGTTTGTGGTATCACGCGAAATTGAAGGAAAATCATAGCTCTTAGCCTATCTCAAGTTGCGGACGTTTATGAATATTAAGCTCATATTCATACAAGAATCGCGTGTTTTCCGGGATAAGGTGAAACTAGTGTGATCTTTTTTTTTTTTTTTTTTTTTTTTTTTTTTTTTTTTTTTTTTTTTTTTTTTTTTTTTTTTTAATAAACAGCCGAAAAATTTGCGTTTTTTCCTCGGTATTGAAGTAAACTTTATGACTTCCACGGTGTTTACTAGGCTGGAAAGTGCGGAAATAGTTCTGATTTTTTTTAAGGCGGTCCGGAAGTACTGAAAAAGTACTGGGATTCCCTATGAAAGTAAGAAAGTCTGGAATTTGTTGCCTCATGCTACGGGTGTTCTTTAAAATAGTCCTGAAAATATAAAATTCGTTGCGTGATGATTTCTAGGGCGCAGTATTTTCTCGCTGGATCGTGATTTTGAAGCCAGTTGATCCTCAGGCGAACCATGAGCTTCGAATTTCCTGGGTACGTCTTTTCTCGCGATCCGCGCGTGAATTTCGACAATGTTCGAATTTTGTCTCTTAAAGGTAACAAAAAGTACTGAATTTTTCTGCTCATGAGGCACTGAATGTTTTAGAAAGATACTGAAAAAGTACTTTATAAGGACTTAATATTTGCCAGCCATATTTAGTAGACACCTTATCTATTCGACACGAGAATCCAGACATGGAAAGTTGGCAGTTTCGAAAACGCCTTCAACTGTGGCGTGATACCTCACGCATGCCGGAGAGTACGAAAAGTTGTATCGTTGCGCCTTAGCAATGCGATAGAAGATCAATATTGAAGTAGCCTCCACGTTGGCTTGTCAGTATTGTAAACAAGCAGTAAGATATATAAGTAAATTATTGGAACGCAAATCTCGAGTGAAGCAAGTCAGTGCAACAATTATGCGCACATCTCCTTGTTTTAATGTTTTGTCTATAGCTTTCGTTCCAGTTGATCATGAATAGTATGCTCACATGCATACAAAAAACGCGCATTTTCCGGAATGAGGTGAAATGCGTTCGATCTTTTTTTGAACTTGATGAACCGCTGGAAAATATGCGTACATACCGCGATATTGCGGCAATCCACGCGTGATTTTTATTGACTCCTTAAAGCAGCTTTTCCCTCTCGATATCGTTGAGATTATCGCGTAATTTCTCAATTTTTATGTTAAATCGCGTATTTACCGAGATTATGAGATGAAGAGCTTGTAAATTCTTAGGATTCAACGTATTCGATGGAGAAATCGCGCACTTCTCGCGCTATTGAGATCATTTACACTTAATTTTACAAAATTTTACAACGCCGTCAGAAAAAATCGCCTATTCGCCGCGACACTGCAGCGATTTTTGCGTAATTTCTCATTTTTTTACGAATTCGCCGGATAAGTAGCGTATTTTCTGCGATACCGAGATGAAGAGCTTGTAATTTTTTAGGATTCAACGAATTTGATGGAGTAATCGCGTACTTCTCGCGATATTGAGAGAATTTCGCGTAATTCCGCTCATTTAACAGGTGAAATCCAAGCAAGCAACTATTCGAACTCCGGTGCAGGTTTGTGATATCACGCGAAATTGAAGGAAAATCATAGCTCCTAGCCTATCTCAAGTTGCGGACGTTCGTGAATAATTAGCTCACATTCATACAAAAATTGCGTGTTTTCTCTTTTTTTTTACACACACTTGCTAGACCAGTTGCGAATTTTTAGAGATAGATAAATATCTAGATTAAAAGCGCGCATTTTCTCAGGATTTAAGGGCATTGCCTGAACGCGTACTTTTTGCGATATTGAGACGAGATTTGCGATTTCCTACTTTCCAGCAAGTGGCATAGACGCGAGCAACTATTCGAGCTCCTGTGTAGGTAAATCGTATCACTCGAAATTGAAGGAAAACCTTAGCTTTTTGTCCATCTCAAATTAATAAAGTTCATGAATATTATTCTCGCGTCGATATTTAAATGGGGATTTTCCACGATATTGAGGTGAAAATTGCGTGATCTTTTATGTTCTTAATCAACCGCTGGAAATTATGCGTACATGCCGTGATATTGAGGTTAATAACGCGTAATTTTGAAAATACTTCACAAAACGGCTGGACAAAATCGCATATTTGCCGCGATATTGCTGTGATTTTCGCGTCATTTATCAGATTTTGCTTCTACGAAGTCGCTGGATAAGTTGCGCATTTCGAGCGCCACTGAGATTGAACTTACCTAATATCTGGAGATTTCCGGCATTTACTTATAATGTCCCGTTTTTTCGCGATAATGAGATGAAATTCGCGCAATTCATCGCTTTTTAACACTCAGAAATAGTAAGCAACTATTCGAACTCCGGGGTAGGTTTATGGTATCATGCGAAATTGAAGGAAAATCTTAGCTTTTCGCCTATCTCAATTTACTAAAGTATATGAACATTGCGTGATTTGCTTGATTGACCGCTGGATAATATGTGTAAATGTCGCGATATTTAGATGAATTACGCGTAATTTTGCATAACTTTACAAAATCGCCGGAAAAAATCGCCTATTTGCCGCTATACTCTCTGATAGTTGCGTCACTCATCATTTCTTTCAAATTCGCTGGATGATTAGTGCATCTCACCCGATATCGAGATGAATAGCGCGTAATTTAGGAGGATTTCAGGGATCCGCTTGAAATCTCGCGTACTTAAATATCTTATCATATATCATCACAATACATGATTCCGTAAGTCCTATACTCTCTGATAGTTGCGTCACTCATCATTTCTTTCAAATTCGCTGCGGATGTTTAGTGCATCTCACCCGATATCGAGATGAATAGCGCGTAATTTAGGAGGATTTCAGGGATCCGCTTGAAATCTCGCGTACTTAAATACCTTATCATATATCATCACAATATATGATTCCGTAAGCCCCATCCTTCGGGTCAAAATTCAGTGGGGACCGCCGCGCCGGACAGATCCGGGCACGTGCGGTACCGGCTTGACCGTCCCGGTTCCCCGATGGCCGGAAAAATAGAGGGATTAAAAAAGCTGAAAAACATGAGTGAACGAAAAACAGGAAAATTTCCACAATCCTTCGATCCCAGGATCGCGCAGGCGCGCGGTGTGAACACGATTAGGCGACGAGGATATCGATATCTCGACATCGAGCTCGAAGGATCGAAATCCTAAGCTTAGATTAACTCTTAACCGTGGTAATAACGTTTTTCGTGAACAAATTCAACCTTTCCACTCATGGAAGAAAGAATAATTTACTTGGGTTAAATTTCCCGCCAAACTTCACTATGACAATCTCAGTAACATGAAAATATGGCAACCTCAATCTTAACGCTCAGCTTAAGCTGTACACACTTTGAACAACACAGTGTGGGAAAGGAACAATGCTCGATTGAGTAGTTTGCTGAAGCCGTTGTTGTGCGCAATTTGACTCACGTATGGTTTTGTTTTTCTTGTGACCGGGCAATTCTAAGTTCCCGTAACCAATGGGCAATAAAAACGTTGATATCTTAGCTAGAAGTTCATTTCTGTAGTTTTCGTTGCGCGAATCGTGTTCCATGTGAAATTCTGGTAAAGAATCGTGTATCTCAGTGCTTAAATTCGTACCTCGTTTAATGGTCCGTACAATCTAAAAAAGCGAACATACAGAACTTTCCTAACTTTTCTCACAGAAAATATTTTATCGGGAGAAACGAGGCAACGTTGGAGTTACGGCGTCGAAACACAACATGGGTCTTTAAAGCCCCATTGTTCGATATCATGATGATCCTAACGCGAGTCCGAATAATCGCGCCAAACACGTTGCAGTCGGCTTCTAACTCATCCAGCGCCTGCAAGACTACCGGAATACTTCATGCGTTGCGCCAAACAGTGCGGTCGGCGTCAGCGCCTACAAGACTGCGTGAATACTTCTCGCATTGCACCAAACGCAATACGAGAAAAGCGATAACTGTTCGACCACGGGCATAAGCACATTGCCGCTAGCTGGAATGAAAGCGCATCACACTGTGAAGAATATGACTCGACACTCGACCGCACTCCCTTCCCTGGCTCGCGCGACGCTGAAATCGCCGCAAAACTAGGTCCACGCGTCATTTCTTTTGACGGTCCCTGTCCGGTTTTTATCCGAATTAAAGGGTAAATATGTATCTTAATTGTAACGATTCAGAAACTCGGACGATGTTGAAACGATGCAGCGATTCTGAAACTTGAATAGCATAAAATTAATTTTGGTTTAATAAAAAGAAAACTGAACGAACGAAAATATCGCGTCGAACTTTTTTGTGATTTTATTTCAAATCATTCCGAAAATTTTCGAAACTTCTAAAAAAACTGTGTGTAGCTTTTTGAAAACGGTGTTTAAAAATTAGACGTAAAAAGTGGTGCATTACGTTGCAATCAAAGATAAATACGCTTCCTTTCGCGTGCACCCGTCGGCGTTTGAATCCATTCATCTATGAAATTACTTGAATATGGTTGCTCTACAATTTTTCACGTATAGTTTTTTTCAGTGGTTGGCGGGCCCCTAGTTATTATTTATATCGCCGCGATTTTCGTGTGATGGACCACTAGACGAAGTACAAAGTTGAGCATTTTGATACATGTTTCTTTACCAAAATTTCACAAAAAACGTGATATGTGACACGAAAATTAATGAATTAACTCCTAACCAAGGTATTTAATGTTTCTTAGTGCGTGAATTCAAACCTCTCGCCCTTGAAAACACAAAGGTCTACGCGAGTCAAATCGCGCACCAAGTGATACCATTACAGTCTCTACGGTATGAATAGATCACAATCTCGATTTCCGTGCTTCGGTTCAGCTGTTGCACGTTGTTAACACTTTGAACAACATAGGACGCGAAAGGAACACGTTCTATGAAAAAAACCCGCCAATATTGTCGTAGTGCGCAATTTGACTCGCGTATGGTTTTGTTTTTCTTGTGACCGGGCAATTTAAATCTCTCGTGACCAATGTAAGATCAAAACGTTGATAGCAGTAATTTTCGATGCAAGAATCGCGTCATTTCAGTGCGCGGCGGATCCTATGTTGCAATCAGTGTGCTGAAGAAAATTTTGCACGCCCTATTGAAGAACATTATATCTTCGCCAAAATTAAAGCTATAATCACACATTGTAAAAGTTTTATTTAATGTATCCTACATAGTCAATTATTTTCTCAACATCATCTCTTGTAAGTGTAATAGAGTCACGATCATTATGTTTTCTTGTCTTGAGAAGAAATGAGCTTCCCGCCGTTTTGATGACTTTTTGCCCTTTTTGTATCCCAACAATTTTTTTTTTTTTTTTTTTTTTTTTTTTTTTTTGCGGCATCAAGGACAATAAGTAACTTTATTGATCATTTCAAAGGAAACTGACGTAACTAAACTTACAAGATAGTAACTCTAAATTGTCGCTTCTCACAAAACTCCAAATTCTTAGGTGCAATGGAATATGTACGAACGTTAACTCCGAACTATGTTTAAGGTGATTCGATGGACGCCATATTTCGTGTCAGAACGGCATGCGATATATCGCATCAATTGGTTCCATTTTTTCAGCTACTCGTCATTTTTCTCCAAATTTGAGATCGCAATTCTGTTGTCAGGAGACTAAAACATTATTCACGTACCAATTTTAACAAAGAAATTCAACGTAATAAAGGCGTGGTTTTTTTTCAGAGAGGAAACATCGCATTCGATGCTGATATCGAAACTGCACTCGAATGCGATATTTCCTCTCCAAAAAAAACACGCCTTTATTAAGTACGTTGAATTTCTTTGTTAAAATTGGTAAGTGAGTGCTTTAGTCTCCTGACTACAGAATTGCGATCTCCAAATTGGAGAAAAATGACGAGTGGCTGAAAAAATGGAACCAATTGATACGGTACATCGCATGCCGTTTTGACACAAAATACGGCGTCCATCGAATCACCTTAAACTCAATTTGCCTTAAATCATTGCTGTACCAAATTTTAGCACATTTTCAAAACGTCAGGGAATTTCTCCAGAGAGCCTTGGGTTTATTTGTATAGGCTGAAATATTTAACTATTTCCTACGGCACTCCAACGACTTTTCGACAAAAAACAGAACTTCAGCCTGTAAATTATCGAATTTTGAATTTCTTGGATTTCAAGATTCTTGGCGCTTCAATTGTTTGGTGTAAAACATTTTCATGAGAACTGATGTACAAAACTTCATAGAAAATTTGGTGGATTTTACGTTTGAAAACCCTGGAAAAGTCAGGGAATTTTCAAATCCACGAAAATTGCTCACCCTGTCCAAATTTGATGGACGTTTCGTTGCATGTATCAGCTTTATGAAAGAAAACAATATCGACAAAAGTGGTTACCAGCGATTTAATGCTTTCTCCATTGTCGACAGTGAAACTGAGTTATATTCCAGACTTTCCTCTAAAGCCATTCATGCACATTTCAACCCACTTAGGGTAGCAGGTGAGTGTCAAGGCTATCACTGTAAGGACTCTTCACAACCCTAATGTCTTTTAAATGCCTTATTTTCTTATTAATGACCCTTTTATTTTTGAAGAACTCATGAAAATAGACCTTATTGCTACTGATGTCTGAATTTTTAACCTATCAGTAAATCAATTCTTCTTTTGTTTGTGCAGATTGAAGTTAGAAGAAGAACATCGTCAGCGAGAGCAAGAAAGAGAGCGAAGGGATAAAAGCAGACGCTCCTCTCCACGAGCTTCACCCTCTCACAGCCATGATCACCCAGGTGGGCATGCGACTCCTGTTTATTTCAAATGATGCTCCCTCATTTCATTTTATTCATTTTTCCATAATTTTGAGATGGGAGATGGTTTTTTTTTTATTGTTTGTTGTTTCTTGCTTTCAAAAGAAAATTTAGAATCTAATAGATCATGTTTTTCTTTTTTTCTAGCTAATGAATGAGAGATTTTTCTTGTTAAGATTCATTTCAATGTAACATCCCTGTGTATAATTCGTGGTTAATTTTTCTTTTCTTTCCCTCGATGGGTTGGTTCGCTAATTGCAGCATTGGTTTTGATCGTTGAAGCTAACAAATCGCCAAAAATTAAGAACATTGCAGAGTTCTTGTTTCCTTGAAAAGTTGCTAAATGTCTTTAATTTCATCTGAGTGTCAAGTCCTCATGAAAGCTGCATTTGTAAGGAAAGACATTTAAGTAAATAGGTGTCTCTGAACATAGGAAGTTGATGTATGAAACATGATTCTTAGCTGAGATAGCCTCCAAACTTTAATTTTCAAAGGAAAATTCTTGAAAAACTTACAAGAGTACGTAAATTTCCTTTTTAATTTGGTTTTCGGCTGCACGAACCTTGTATGAAGTAAGAAATTGAATCTGCCTTGTAGCCATTTTTCAACTTGTTGTAATGGTTTAGATCAGACATTCAGAAATTCGGTGGATAGTGCATCCTTTGTGGGCAGTGCATATCCATTTTTTTCTACTTTGGTCTCGGAAATCTGTGATGCCTACATCTGCAATCGCTGCTCTATGTGTCCCATCGACAAGACAAAAAATAGAAATCATGATGTGTACTGTTCCGATAGTTGATATCATTGTTATTGTTCCTCATATATCGGAATCTATTTCAATATTCGAAAGATAAGTATGACATTTAAACGAATCTCATCACTTATTTTTTGTCAATCTGTAAGCTTCAATCATCAGGAGACGAAACTGTGATGAAAGTGCACAACTAACCCATTCTCTTTTTCCCTCCTTAGCGCATATTACAAGTTATGCCTCCTTCTTAATTCGTTGCTGAGAAGAGGCAAAGTTGATTGATTATCCTCTTAAAACTATCAATTTAATTTACTCCTTTTTCCTTTTCTTTTTCTAGAAAAGTCTCAAAGTCATGTTTACTGTGATATTGTTTATAATTCATCCTTTCATTACAACCCTTATTTATGTATACTTAATTATGTGTGTGTTTGAGAAAGAAGAAAAAAAGGAAAGAAAAAAAGAGCCTTCAACTTGTTAATAGTAAGTTTTAATTTGTTGATGCTGACTTGGATCGTTGACACATCAGTACTTTTTATATTATTTTTCTAGGCAGACTACGGCTGTAGGTTATTTTTATTTGTCAACCATTTATTTCTCCTCGCATTTTTTTATTTTATTTTTTCTTTGAAAGGGAGGTCACCTTTTTTTGAAGGATGAAGGTTATTTTGATTTTATCTCCCTTTGTTTCTTTCCTACAAAATTCGTTTGTACCTGAATCGGAGTCGAAGAATTCCCTCAGGATACTTCATGTCCTTCGTGTTTTATGCAGGTCTGCATTTTAATCCTTTGTATTTTCTATCATTTATGATAATTTTTCATTGACAGGCACCCTACTAGTATGTTTATCCTCACTTGAGTAAAAGTGTCAGTTAACCAAAGACTGTAATAGGATACAGTTTAATCATTTGACTAATTATTTTTATTAAGTAAATGGGTCGTCCCGAAAGAAAGTAGACTGTGCTGTTATTTTCAAAACTAATAATGCTAGAGACATGATCTCTGTGTCTTTCAAATAAGATCCCAGGCTATAAATTTACACATTGACTATCAAGGCTTTTTCGGTCCCTGGTTTCATCGTACCAGGCCAGTCAGAAGAAACAAGCAAAATTTGGTTCGGTGGCTTTTAGAGGAGGGCGCTGTTTGTTGGCGTGCCACTACAATTGAATGTTACCACATCCTCCTTCATAAACCAACATTGTCCCCTTGTGATTTCTACATTCCTTGCCAGTTTTCTGCAAGTGTCAACTTGCCATTTCCTTCACCCAATTGTGGGAATAGTCACTTGCAGATTCTGACAGGCTGGTGTGGCAGTCAATATGTTTTGTCAAAGATATCGTTTGATTAAAAATTGACAGCAGCATGGCAATATCTTTGAAGAATGAAATACTGTCGCTTCCAAGCTTATGACAAGAATGTATTCTCAGGATCTTACGCAACTAGTCCACAAGTTTCTTCTTTAATTTTCATGTTTGCTATCCTCCAAGTCCATTTGCTGTGTAGGTCTAAATGCTGTACAAAGCATTTTTAATTCTTTCTAATTCCTTTGTGTATTCAAGTGAGTCAATTTTCAAACAAAGTTTTGTGAAATAGCTCCTCCAAAATCTCATCAATAGGCAATTTGATGTGCTTCTTGTCTCGAATCTACCCACTGTGTAGCTCTCCTCAGGTTTAGAATGATGCTCTGTAATAAATATTCTTATATTTCTCTAATTGTTAATAAAAAGTTCCATTAAATCAAATGTGAAATTGACCCATAATGCAATCATACACTGAGAAATTGCTATTCTGTGCCGAATCAGTATAGGGATCACCTGTTACAATCAAGGGCGCAAGAAATCCCCAACAAAGCCATTTGTCAATTCGCCCTCCCCTTTCGAAATCCTCCTAATATTCAGAATTTTTTTTTTGAAATTCCAGGCAGTGGCCCCTTTCTTTCTCTCTTTTTCTTCTGTTTCCCTCCATTTACTTAGCAGATATCGCACGATTCAGTACACCTATGTGTAACGGCCCCATTTTCAAATTCAATACCCTTTTTCACAGCAAACCTAATTTTTGCCCTATCGATAGGTTTTTTGCATCTATGCTACAATGGGGATCATAGTTGATATGACAACTTTATGACTTTGTACTGATAAATTTGACACTTCCAAGTTGTTTTTGTCACAATAGCGCATTGGCAAAGTTTAGATATAGACATAACTCAAACTGCCAAGTGTTGGTTGTAACCCAACTGAGCTGTTTTGGTCAAATAAATTTTTGTCCAATACATACTTGTCAGTGGTAGCATTTAATTGCTAACCCAAATTGTTTTATCTGGTCAAGTTTTGGCCGAATGTGGTGATCTTAGTCATGAACAGCAGCTTTTGATTTGGTATTTGAAGTGAAACAAGGCCATGTCTTTTAGAGAGTTCTATTAGTATTGAAATGGCAACATCAGACTACTCAAACTTGAGACAACCTATGTACAAACCCATTACATGTCAGTAATTTTTTAGTGTTCTGATATGGTTGTAAACCAAGCCTGTATTAAAAATAATTGCACCTCAACTTACATCTTACCCTAATTTTGAATGATTGACTGTCCTAATATCAAACCTTTCAGGATGATTAAAAAAATAAACATGTCTTTTCACACCATATGACTGTAAATATTTAAGTTAATCAAACTCAGTTCCAAGTTCTTTACTACAATTTTTTGCGAAACCTCTTTTAATTTTTTGTCACAATAAAATGCTATCCAAGAAGTGCCAGTTTTGAATTTCAGTTTCATTCCCTCCATGAAGAATTGACTGGAAGTTTCTGGAATTGTTGATGTTAATGATTCCAATTATCTTGACCGTGCTGTTTGTGTAAGCAGCTGTATTCGTAGTTTTGCCTCTTCTCATAGGAAGTGTCAAGACATAGACACTTGTATTTTTAAGATCGTAGTTGGTTCCCTCTTTTCAAACTTAATTTGGACCGAGTTAAACAGAAAGGAACCAAGCCACATCAGCTATTGCCAAATTTAATTGGGCAATTTAGTTTTTTACATGAAAACGGTAGTGCGAATTTTCGTGCAAATTTCTGTGAATTTTCTCCATAGTACGAAGCAAATTCCTTATCATTTCCACAGAAATCCGCACAAACGTTCTTTCATTAAAAATTGAATTGCCCAGTTAATTTTGGCAACAGCTGATGTGGCTTGGTTCCTTTCTGTTAAACTCAGTCCATTTGTTTTATTACTTTGGTATGTGACGCAACAAGTTAAAAGATACTTTGAAAACAAGCCTTGAATATCGACAACTTGAGGACTTCAGTGAACGAAGAATTTTCTCTTGGCATACCAACTGTTTTTATGAACTTATGAAAGTATGCTCGAATATCAATTCATTATTATGGGAAAAATCAGTGACTAAAAGCATATCTGATTATTTCTCATGCATTAATATCATAAAATCAACATTCATAAGTTATGATGAAAATCTCAGGCGACTGAATACAATTTTATCATGCAATTTCTGCATTGAAGGACACAAATTTTGATTTAAAAAAGAATGAGACTTTTTCTTCATCTCAAGGGCACTCTGTGTGAAAAACTTGAACATGATAGCTTATTCTCTCACCTCATCATAGGAGTTTCAAGTTCATTAGCACCATAAGGGGGCTTTCTATTGGTCTGAAAAACGGGTAACTGTCAAAGATCGTCATCTGGTGAGGAAGATTAGAGAATTTTATTTTAAAAAAATGGAAATTTGAAAATTTAAAGTCTGGAAAAACTTCAGCATCGTCTACACAATCATAAAACAAGAAATTCCCAAGTCTGGTCTAAGGTTCAATGCTCTGATTCGCGCTGTTAATAGTGAATCTAGAGGAATAATCATGTTCAATTAGGAATTGCAATTCTAGCCAAGTGAAGTATAGTAATACCTCGAGAAAAAAATCCACATGTTTCCGTCATTTGCAGTGAAATTTTTGCCGAACATGTCTCATGCCCGGCTGTACATGCACAAATTGTTGATGAGTGAAGTCAGAGAATTCTGATCATTTTGCTCAGAGAAAAACCTGGAAAAGTCAGGGAAATTTTCCCCACCAAGGATGCATTGAGCACTCACAATGTATACCTACCAAAAGCACACAGTCAGTAAGGTTTCTCCGCTTTTGTACAGGGAAGTAGAAATTTCGGCAAACTTTATATGGAAGTTAAGCCCATCATAAGGTCTTCTCAGACAGATAAACCATAGTATCCTAGTAC